AATAGATATAATTACAATAATATGAAGACTGGGTAGCTAATCCTTTGTCGTGAGGAAAATTTGAGAGAAACGACTAAAAGTTAACGTAAACATCCATAACTCAGAAACTAAAATAAGGTGGTGTACAACTCTTAGTGCATGAGTTAATGCAATGGAAAGGAACTTTTATCCAGGAATTGAGATATGTGGACAAATATTTAGAAAAAACTTAGAAAGTCACTTTGATCACTTGAGTCATCATAACCATAAATTTCTTTGCTTATCATTGCAAAATCAACTCAAACCTTGGTTGTAACAATTAACTCACTGTGGCAAGCACACGATCCAACACGCACCGGTGCACACGAAGTGAACGTATCAGATTCGTCCAACCAGAAGTTTGAACTAATATCCGATGAAGGCACTTTGGGGACGAGTGTGAACGGGGAGAGGCGAATAACTTAGAACACCTCTCGCCCTCTCACCGCCCGCCCCTTCAGTTTCGGGAGATGCGTACAGCGAGCGCAGAGTCACTACAGCGTCAAGAAGGGTCATCAGCAGAAAACACTTCGAACTAAAATGCACTTCTTTCCGTCGACATGACTTCAGCGCGCCGAGCGAGTGGACCTGACGCAAAATACACGCGATGTGTGCACCTTGGAAGACTGCTGGAGACTGACGTTTTGCGTGCAGGGCGCCGGGTCGGCCAAAACATTCCGAGTTGCCGACGGATTAACGCTCCCCTCCTTGCCGAGCCAATCAGAGGGCGCCTCCAGCCGGCCCTGCCTCGCCGGACTTTCCGAGAATGCACCGGCGGGGACAGTCCTGCGGCCGCTGCACTGGGCTCGGCTCGGTGCTCGGCCCTGCTCGGTGCCGAACGGACTCAGCCGAACAAGTCCGAGACAAACTAGATCGCTTTCGGGCCTACAAGCTTAGCTGGTCAAGGTGCTCCCAGAGCGCTATAAAGAGGGCTACTCTGGGGCTCAAGGTGCTTCGCAAGGGGCAGTCCGATTAAGGCAGCGTATGTAGAGAGAGAGGGCGGGAGTCAGACGAGTCGGGCAGAAAATTAAGACCGCACTGCAAACCTAACTGTCTACTAAGTACACACTTACAAATGCATGCTTGCAAGCACGCACTTACAAACGCATGCTTGGCCAAGTTCACACTTACAAATGCATGCTTGCAAGTACACACTTACAAACGCATGCTTGACGCATGGAGTTATACGGCGTCAAGCATGCGTTTGTAAGTGTGTACTTGCAAGCATGCATTTGTAAGTGTGTACTTGGACAAGCATGCGTTTGTAAGTGTGTACTTGCAAGCATGCATTTGTAAGTGTGTACTTAGTAGACAGTTAGGTTTGTAGTGCGGGCGCTGAATTCTACTTTCAGACTCGCAGGGCAAATTATTAAACCTTGTTAAGTCTGAATTTTCAGACCGCCGCGTCTGAAATTTTTTTCAGACTACAAGGTCCGTATTTTTAGACCTGCGGTCCAAATATAAGGACTCTAGTTTGAAAACGAAATTCAGACGGACAAGTCTGACACTTTCGGTCTGAATTTTCAGAATTTTTTTAACAGTGTAAGTTAAGAATCCCTGGATCCATGGTCATGGTCACCCCGAAATTGTAACGAATATTAGTATCCCATGCGTCCGCAGTTCATCACCTCACAAACCGAGGAGAAAGAGGAGTGAGTGTGGGTTTTTAAGACGTTTGTGGGCTATGACCTTCGAGATGTCTAATAATGGCCATTAAACAAAATGAGTGACTGACAAATTGCAGACATCCTGTCGTCATGTCGCTGAAATGTGCTAAGAAGGAGGGAATTTCTGACGACTGTTCGCCCGCCCTAACCTCTGCTCTGTACGAAGGACAGCATCGGAATAAGCTTGCAACGTCGCCACATTTGTTGCATGTCTCTGATCGTAACTTTTCCCTGTTAAACACAAAGTTACGGTGCGTTTTCGGTTCCTCGGCAATAGGGTACTTCGGAGAAAGCCTAGACCGAGGGGCAAACAACTTCGTCAAAATTTGTACACCGTTATTTCAAATTCACGTTATTTCACGCATGGTAAAAACGGTTCCTGGTTTTCCCAGGAACCCCCAGGAAATCGCCTATGTCTTCGCCATAGGGCTCCTGGGAAAACCAGGTACCGTGTTTACCGTGCGTTATTTCATTGTTATTCCAACGTTATTTCAAGGGTATTTCAACGTTATTTCGCGTTATTTCGTGTTATTTCACGTTATTTCGCGCTATTTCACCGTTATTTCACGCTATTTCACGCTCATTTTGGCGTTATTTTAACGTTATTTCACCGTTATTTCACGCTATTTCACGCTCATTTTGGCGTTATTTTAACGTTATTTCACCGTTATTTCACGGAAAATGTACACCTAAATTCAAGTTGTTTGCCCCTCGGCCTAGACCGAAAGTCAGCGATGGAACGCGATAACCAAAGATCATCGCGCGGCTGTGCTGAGCGGTGTTGGGGTCGGGATGGGCATAGTGGGGGAAGCATGCGAGCGCCGCCTTCACCCCCACTCCGCCGATTCCGACCCCCTCCACCGCTCAGCATGGCCGGGCGATGCTCATTTGTTTTTCTCGGTTTGTCGATGCCTTCCGGTCTAGGCTTTCCCCGAAGTACTCTATCCTCGTGTAACTCGGCGCTGTGGTGGGTCCTGATGTGGCCAACTCGTGGAAGCGGCCAATATTGTCGGAACCAAATCCGTTGAACTTGTCTGGTGGCTCAGATTCCCAAAATAACCCTACATGCCGTGCTAGCACCACTTAGGACCGAAATCTTCCTCCCGCTCAAAACTTGCCTTTTTCAGCGGTTCTTTGTATTTCGTGTGGTTTTGGCCGCATGGATTGAGAACGAAAGCTGAATTTTGCTGTGTTGCACACTAAACTTTTTACGGATACATCCTATCTGTATTACGGACATTTTTGTGCAATTGCAATTACGGATAGATTTTGCTTGTAATACGAATGATTTTATCCGTAATATAAAGGTTTTCGTGTCCGTAACATACAGACGAAAATGTCCGTATGGTACGGACGTAAAACTCTTTGTAATACGGATGATTTCATCCGTATTACAAGCAAAATCTGTCCGTAATTGCAATTGCACAAAAAATGTCCGTAATACAGATAGGATGTATCCGTAAGAAGTTTAGTGTGTGCGAGCCAAGGATATACCTAAGACGGTGCAAATTCTCAGCCGTATTGTCCGAGCCGTTCAGGAGTAGTGCGGACACACAGACCGACAAAACTTTTTAACCCCACGCGAGTGACAGGCTTCGCTATCGCTTAGTTAATCAGAGGCTAGAGTACTCACAAGGGTGGGCCGTCGAGATGGGACTAGATTATAAGTTCCAGAGAGCGGAATAGTTGAATCCTCATTTTTCAATTCTGTACAGTGCTAAGTACGCGTTTTGTACTTTTCTTCCCCGAAAAGCCTTAAGCCGTACCCCAGAAAAAATGCCCAACTCGCGCATTTTCGCTTTTATCTCGGAATGGCCCACGAGGTAAGCTTCGTTATAAACTCCAAACTCTGCTTCTGCAGTAAACGAAAGTGATATTAGGGGTAGGTTGGGTAAGAAAAGTACACTCGAAGCTCGGGTAAGAAAAGTACACCCGTTACATCTCCGAACTGAAACTACACTGAACCATCACGTTAGTGGTTTTAGAAAGATTGGTCATCCCGCTGACAAAAAATAAATTTAGCCCAGTTCTACATATAATATTTAGAATCAAACGGCACGTTTGAAAAACACATTTAAAATAACTATGAAAATCTTTTTTTTAAATGTTTGTACTTTGGAGTACAGATTCCTGCAGAATCAGCCGACAGTCCAATGTAAGGTACCACCTTATAGCTTAGACCATCATCTTTGAAAAACAGTGCCGTTCGATGCTCTTAGGCTTCAACACAATTTTTTATAAGTGTAAAAATGAAATGGGGAAGAAAAGTACAGTCGGCTGGGGAAGAAAAGTACAGGTATTGGGGAAGAAAAGAACACCCTCTAAGAAACTAAAAGCGGGATGAAAATTGAATTGATCACGGAAATAGATTTGATTAGGCGAGACAAGCAAAAAATGTCAACACAAGTTATAGAATTAGACTAGAAATAAACAAGTTATTGGGCATTTACGTGAAAAGGGGAAGAAAAGTACAAAAATGCTGTACCCACTTATCTCTGAGAAAAGGCTTCTTGGACCTTCTGTGATGAGTCCATGTAGAATCAGAACCAATTGACCGATTTTGACGAAACTTGAACTAATGGCAAGTGAAAGCTCTCCACTTTAGGGGTAAACCTGTATTGAGCCAAGATTGGTGGTCTCCTGGTTCGAACTCGCAATTCTTTTCGTTGTACTTTTCTTTCCCGGTGGTGTACTTTTCTTACCCTTTTCGAGGAGTTCCGAAATCACATACATTTTGGCATGTTGTACGTAATGTGGGGAACTATAATCAACGGTCAGTGATCCATTTCATTAGGAAGGCATTGGATTACATGTTCACGAGAGCAGAATAGTTGAATCCTCATTTGGAACTTCTGTACAGTGCAAAGTACGCGTTTTGTACTTTTCTTCCCCAACCTACCCCTAGTTGATTGTAAGATTACGACCAAAAGGGAAACGACTTGGCTAAAAACTGGATTATTTCAAGGTTCAAGGGGAGAGGGGAATTTTAAGCACAGGTACACTGCAAACCTATTAGGTTAAACTGTCTACTAAGTACGCACTTACAAATGCATGCTTGACGCATGGAGTTATACGGCGTCAAGCAAGCGTTTGTAAGTGTGTACTTGGCCAAGCATGTACTTGTAAGTGTGTACTTAGAAGACAGTTGGGTTTGTAGTGTACATCAATGCACGGGCTCGCTGCGCCGGGAATTGAGGTCGGGGTAGTGCCTCAGATTGTATCGGTCACTCTGTGGCTTAGCGCCGGACACGAGAGAAGAACAAACTGAAATTGATGATTGATTGGTGTCGCGTGACTTTTAAAAATATCTCTTACCGGAATAGAGGTCTAGGACGCGTCTTCAGCCTTTGGGACCACGGTGTACCGGGTTTCTTCTGCGATACTTGCCATCGGCAAGCACTTTCCTGTCAAGTGAGTCAACTGTCAGTCGTCCTATCTATTTAGCTTAGAACACGTCGCCGCATTCCTTCAGTGGATGCTGCTTCTCGAAGGAAAACACTCACCTTAAGACGAAACTTTTAACTCCCAGCACGAATGTCCGAGTCGATCAGACGAAAGGATATTACACGCGTTAACTCGTGTGGCGGGCGCTCAGTCACTGCCTTCTCCGCTAGCCGCACAGTGTCGTCCTTTATCGCATCACAACAAATAACAAGTGCCGGGTTGCGAGGCGGGTGAGGGGTGGCACACTGTTGCTAGGCAACCGACAGGCAGTGTTGAGATAGCTCCGCTGGAAGGCGATTGCAGCACGCAGTCTGCCTCGTTTAAGTTCTCAGGTTTACCTGTACCGGACGTCACAAGGGACTTTGTGAAAGTCAGCCTTCAGAAGGCACTCTCTTTCAGGATTGCTAAAATGACTTTCAAATGTTACGCGTTACCGTTATCGCGATAGTATAGTCGCACTACATTGAAATACGAAACGTTCTCTTGACCACACCAACCTAACCACACCAACTGGTGTGGTCAAACGGGTGCCGTTTTGAGGCAACTGAGATCTTTTTTTTGTGGCTTCACCTTCCTTTTTCGTTCTTGTCTGTTCGCTTTCGGCTTGCTGTGCTGGTCACCTTCCTGTTGTCACATGATCTGTTGTGGTTGTTACGTTGCCCACCATTGTTCTCTCTTCTATGGGTGCCTCTGTTACTGTAGTAGTGCTTGTTGTACTTGGAGCCCATTCCATCATGTTGAGCAGTTCGGCATTTTCTACAGTACTTTTGTGGAAAGTTACAATCCTCTGTCTTGTGGCTTGACCTTTCTTGTACAGACTTGGCAGGTCTTGGCAGGTGAACTGAAGGAAGTAACCGTCTTCTGTCCTATGACTGCCTTCCTTCTTCCGTACGGTGCAGTATGCAGTTTGCTTTTGTGTGACCTGCTCAACAGCGAAAACACTTGAGGTTCACCGTAAGTCCCAGCCTGGCACGCGCATCAACCTCGAAGGCAGGGACTGGTTTGTCCAGTTGTTTCATTTTACCTTCTTCTGTTTGCAGTCTCAAGAGCAGATTTTCGACGGTCCTTTCAACTGGGGGTACAGACTCCAATGCACTGCTGAAGTATTGAAATGGCCTTGGAAGCATTTGGATTGGCTCGGAAATTAGCATAGTACCATTTACCTCTTGTTTTAGAGCGTACAGCTAGTGTGCCAGGTTTTGAATGCCTGGCGTTGTACATGACGGATTGGTTTTTGTCCCTGTTTGTAAAGAGTTCTGGTAGCAATAGAATTTTCTGGTTTGTTCCTTTTTGAATATAGCATTAACCTTGGTTTATCTGCAAGTTGGAAAGTAATACTTCGCAATGCTTTAAAAAGAGTTGTAAGAGAGTTTGCAATTCAATGCCGGGAAATACTTCGCAAGGTTTTTTTTTTTAGTTTTTACCGAACTCCTCGGTCGTTATAAATTTGTCTCGCAGTTCTTAGTTATTTATAAATGACGCACAATTTAATGCGGACCTGATACTTTTGGGCGACTGATTTGGGGTGAATTTGCGATTTAATCAAGGACTCGTTACTGTCACACGCGTTGTTCCCGCGTATTTTATCGAGGGGCGTTCACCATCAATGGGTGGGCTGAGGCGACCGTTTGGCTCGCCCCTGATTCGCTGCGATATCCGGTCTGGGTGCAGAGTGAGCACCCGCCAAGGCCCCGAGGCAAAATTGATCCATGAAGGGGAAGAAGGGGATAACTCAATCTTCATCATTTTTCAGGAGAGCCAAAATAATGGATGCCGGGTGAACTTCCTCCAATCAGATGAATGACGCAATGTTCAGTGTTCAATCAAATCTGCATCCAAGTAACTTTTGAATGTGTTTTTCTGCAAATTCCTTTTCGTCAGGACACATCTTGTAGTTTCTCTGCCGAACTCATAGTCTATCCTTATAGGTGGGTACTTACATTTTGTTAAGTCTGCAACATCCGAAACAAAGACACCTGATACTCTTCCGAAATTTCTAATGCCTCTCTATTTTGTTCTTTTGTAAGGTCAGGCTTTATATTGCATTTATCTTTCTTTCCCAAGAAAGCCTAAGAAATAACTGAAAATTTTCAACAGTGTACTATCCGGTTCAGTCCCATTTTGCTGCATATATGTTGCTTCTCGAAGTGTGGCGGCGCAAAGATTAGCTTATCGCACGAGAAGCTTAGCCTGGAAAGGTCTATTGGACAAAGGGTAGCAGAGTAGACGGGCACTTCAAGAGCTTTTGGGCCAGTTCTCCAAGGACTGAGCTCAAGCACTTCAGAGGCGCCCTCAAGTTTTGAGGCGGTAGTGCGGGGACCTCGTACTTCCCATCGGGACTGAAAACCTGCCTCTTTTTGACCCGTTTCGTATTTTTGGCATACCTAGAACAAAACAAGACACTAAGGTATGTCAGCTTGCTTTTACTCGAGAGTCCAGAAACCGAGGCTGTATCCTAACAATAATAGGGGCTGGCTGCCGGAGCGGGATATTAAGTGAATGCATGAGGCTTGGCTTGGCTCGCAGTCTGCGCGAAATATCGACAAACCCTCCCCCGGGTACAGCCGCAGCGGGCGTAAACAATGGCACTCCCTCCTCGCGCGCGACGGCTTGCGCGGAATATTGACAATCCCTCGCCGCGTAGAGCGCCAGCGGCACCGGGCGCTCGCAATCCAACGGGCACGGCGCGGCGGTGCAGGTCACGGCACAGGACACAGTTTATTTACAATTCTATATACAATTACAGAGAAAGTCCTTTCTCTGTAATGCTCCTGAGCATACTGCCAAAACTAGCACACAGGACAGTACTGGACGTATCATCATCTTCCATGAACGGTCCTTGAATGGAGAATTTTCAATAGAAGGGCAGAATTTAATTTTATACTCTGTAGTCTACGGGGGAATTAAAAAGGGATAAAAATTTGGAGAAAAAGGTGTCGGCCTTTGGTTTATTTCAGGAAAATACAATGTGAATGTATGGTTTCAAAATTTGTTTGAGGTAAGAGCTGCATGAACAAATAATTTTAATTATTTCATCGTAATCTAGATGAATATCGGGCTCGCCGCTCAGTAGAGGCGCTAGTCACCGGTAAGGTCCCGGCTATAGCTATGTACAATGAAGGAAATGTATTTCCAAGTCCAGAGTCGTTTCACTGAAAAGTCAAAGGTCAGAATTCATTCCAACCTAGGGGAAAGAAAAAAAGTCTCGCCAATTTTTGGCGAGAAACAAAAGTCTCGCCATTTTTTTGGCGAGAAACTAAAGTCTCGCCATTTTTTGGCGAGAAACAAATGTCTCGCCAAAATATGGCAATAATTGCAACCCCACTCTATTTGATACTGGGAAATGTATCCCAGTCAAGATCACTCCGGTAAACACATCACTAACTACAGTCTTTCAATTACTCAAGTTGAAAATAATACAGGAAGCTATCACTTTCAGTTATGAAAATATTAATGTAAGGTTATATTATGTGAATTTGGTTTGCGTCAGCAAAGCGTTGCCCAACTATTTACTTTTTTTGTCATCGTTTAAAAAGACATTGGTCCAGTGAGTCAGATCCTAAAAGGTCTCTTTCAGTGTCCATGTAGTTAAAGATAATGTCTTTAATAAGAGGCCTAAACAAAGCGACATCCATGATGACACAAGTTCTTACTCACTCCTTTGACTTATTCCAATCCCCAGCTAACCTTGCTGCACTTGGGCATTGTTGGAGGTTCCATGGACAGAACTCGGTTAATAAACTCGAGTTAAGAAAGTTCTGTGCACTATCTAGCACTATCCGTTTCGCCGTCTCCACTGGACAAAATGCCAAAGTACAGCAGCAGCACTTCAAATCGCCAACACAGATATCATAAAGAAAACATTTTAGTGCACAGACAAGCAACACAGCAACAGGACTGCCATGTTGTGTCGTCTGCTACAGTAGCATTTGTTTTGCGGTAGTGCCAACCTATACATTTTTTTCGTTATTTGTAAAATTACTTTTGGAAGGCAGTGCAGGTTGGCACTACCGCAAAACAAATGCTACTGTAGCAGACGACACAACGAGGACAACAAATGAATTTCAACATGGCAGTCCTGTTGCTGTGTTGCTTGTCTGTACACTAAAATGTTTTCTTTATTATATCTGTGTTGGCGATTTGAAGTGCTGCTGCTGTACTTTGGCATTTTGTCCAGTGGAGACGGCGAAACGGAGAGTGCTAGATAGTGCACAGAACTTTCTTAACTCGAGTTTATTAACCGAGTTCTGTCCATGGAACCTCCAACAATGCCCAAGTGCAGCAAGGTTAAGCTGGGGATTGGAATAAGTCAAAGGAGTGAGTAAGAACTTGTGTCATCATGGATGTCGCTTTGTTAAGGCCTCTTATTAAAGACATTATCTCTTACTACATGGACACTGAAATTGACCTCCCACTAGACCAATGTCTTTTTAAACGATGACAAAAAAAAAGTAAATAGTTGGGCAACGCTTTGCTGACGCAAACCAAATTCACATCATATAACCTAACATTAATATTTTCATATCTGAAAGTGATAGCTTCCTGTATTATTTTCAACTTGAGTAATTGAAAGACTGTAGTTAGTGATGTGTTTACCAGAGTGATCTCGATTGGGATATATTTCCCAGTATCAAATAGAGTGGGGTTGCAATTATTGCCATATTTTGGCGAGACATTTGTTTCTCGCCAAAAAATGGCGAGACTTTAGTTTCTCGCCAAAAAAATGGCGAGACTTTTGTTTCTCGCCAAAAAATGGCGAGACTTTTTTGTCTCACCAAATTTTGGCCATCAGTCTTGCCATTCAATTTTCAGTGTTACAACTTTGAGTATGTGGCTCATACTACCGCTGTTTCTAAAAGTACTTGGATCTTGATTGAACTCTGTATTAAATGTTTTCAGGTCCATCGTTCTCAACCTCGGAGCCTTGCCTAGCACACGGCGTGACGGCGACAGCGACTAGGCGATGGGGGTCGTGTTATGTGAGGGATGGTTTCCAAGGGTCGCCGGATGTCTTGAAACGTAGGCGGTGAGGTAAAAATGTATGTATTTTCTTAAATATTTTGAAAAAGGTTTCTCCAAAGCATTCTGAAGCATGAAATGGACAAACGTGGGGCCACCTCCTTCGAGCTTTTTTGACCTACATCTTGCAGCTCTCCCGTATAAATGTGAAAATTGTGCTGAACAAGAATGGGGGTCACCTCTCCCTCATTCTTTTCCTGGCTACGAACGTTTCTTCGAGATTCCTGATAGTGAAGCATCCATTGTTACTTGTTGAGTTTGCTTTAATGGAGAGCTCCATACACAAGTTTCGGAAAAACTCCATGATATTATTTCTCTCGGAAATTCCTGACAGTGGTCCAAACATGTAAGGGAGTATGGGGCGATTTGTAACAGGGGCGATTCGTAACAAATGCGTTTATTAATTCAAGTGGAGGGAGCAGAGGAAAATCTGAGTATGGCCCCTCTTTCGCTTCAAGTACAGGGTCCTTCAACAATCGAAGCGGATGTGATCGGTGCTCAGGTATAGTTTTGGAGGGCGTCTGAAATATAGGGTTCACCGAAAACAGGCAAATCTTTTATTTTGAGTTCTAGGAAGTTTCTGTCTGAGGCTCCCCAGGTATGAATCACCATCGAAGTACCGTTGGGGCCTTGAAGCGTGACCCCTTTACAATGTAACCACGTGGCATAAGTTGCTTTTACTTTTTCCAGTGATAGTTAGGGACGTATTTCTTGCGTAACAGGCATTTGGGGTGATTCGTAACAGACCCGTATAAAAACAAGAGTTTGAGTAGTTTTAGCAATTAAATGCTTAAATTATTTCTCGAATCATCTGCTGCCTAATTCCAATACATTTACACAGCTCAAAATGCATTTTAAAGCGAGTTATTCTATTCTTTCCTCCAAAATTGAAAAAAGTGAGGTTAGGGTTGACATAGCCGGTCAGTTAATGCTGAGGCGGTCAACGGCCGCTTGTAATGTAGATTTTAAGGCGTCTGCAGGACATCCGATGAACAACTGCTGGAGGAGATGCCATTCCCGACGATGTTTCATTTAATATGTTGGATGTTATGAAAGGCCCCATGGCTGTTACAATTCACCCCATGCTGGGGCGATTCGTAACAGCATGCAAGGGTTTGGAAAGCGTCTTAGATTTCAAAGTTTACGGCCTCCAGATTGATCCAATGGAGCTGCACAGTCTAGATGAAGGGCCAGACTGCTCAACTGGCACAAGTTTGACACCGATATGCAGAATGTTCTTAATTTTGAATAGAGAATTCCAAAATCTGTTACAAATCGCCCCATACTCACTTAATTGAACTCCACTCAACGCAGTTCTGGCCTCTGATAGTTTTGTTAAACCAGAACATAAATGAAATTAACCTCGTGATTACCAGGAATTATTACAATCGTTTTTAACTTGGTTGGCGAAAAAAGACATAAAGTGAAAACTGGCGTGAGGTGGTCAAGGACTTTTCTAATGATCCTGTATAATCTCAGGCAGATCGGCCGAGCCGTTTACGAGTGGTGCCGGCTGACGTGCAGAGAGGGAAAGTGCTTTTATCCCACTAGAGTAACTGGCTGCGCTATCACTAAACCAAACGGCCTGTTCTACCGGTCAGAGTTCTTTCCATTAAAAGTTTAATAAAAGCCATGACATATGAATCAAAGGAAAAGTTTCCTTAGCCTCAGAAGTTTAGAACCATGATGGTCAGTAAAATTTTCGTCTTGTTTCGGACGTTGTGGCTATGAATCTGTTACTTTGGCTTCCTGAAAGAAATCAGTGTGAGCAGAAGCAAGTTCGAGGATAATGCTTACCAGTTGGGGTGAACTTAAGGACTTCTTTCCGACGCTATAAATATAGTACGTGTGGTGCAATGTATGGAGACATTGCACTATACGTGCAAGTCATGTTGCACCTTACGTGCAATGCATCCTGAAAAATGCCCTGTGCTAATGCATGGGAAGGCATTGCACTTCACGTGCAATGCATGAGCATTGCACCAATTGATCGTGGAATGAAAACGTCTTCATTAGCTGCAAGATATATGGTAAGCATAGTTGAAGCAAAATTATGCTTGGAAGGACAGTGTTGGATAATGTGCGGTTTGTGCTTGATATGATGATTTATGATTGCGATTTATAGTATAGTGTTAGCTAAAGATACATGGAAGCATATTTGAAGCAAAATTATGGTTGCAAGGACAATGTTGGATGATGTGTCGTTTGTGCTTGATATGATGTTTTATGACTGCAATATAGGACATTTTACCTTAGACAGTGTTTGCAATTATGTTACCTGTTGAGGTAGTTGACATTAGGTGAAGTATGTGATGCATTTTGTTGAGTGTGAGAGTATTTGCAATGCAAATTAGTTTTCCTCTTGTCTTACTTTTGCTGCTTGTTTTTTTTTTTTCATGTTCTTGTCTTTTGCGATTCTGTAGTGCTTTCTGATCTTGAAGAAAATCATTCATTGTAACAATTCGTCTTGATGTTGACGATTGTTTTCACTGTTAAAAAATTTTGCTGAAAATTCAGACTTTTTTGACTGAAGTAAATATGCAGAACATCCTACTGAAAATTCAGACTAAATCCTGGTCTGAAATTTTCAGACTTACACAAGTCTTAACCTTTCAGACAGGTCGTAGTCTGAAAAATTCAGACAAAATTGTCTCAATTACTAGATTGTTTTGTCTGAAAGTGGCAGCAGGAAATTTTCCCATAACTCGGTGAAATGATAATGTTCGCATCCGAACCTCAAAGGAGAGACGTACTTCAAGGAACCGTCTAGGTAAAAAAATTGAGTGTAGGGGCAATGTCCCCGATGTGGGACACTTCCCTGCACTCATCTGGAGCTGGCATGACGCACCCTAGGGAACGACGGCACGGAGCCAACCGCGAGAGGTAACTTCAAATGTCAATTGTTAAACTCGCGCGTTTGCTACAGATATAAATTTGGTATGGGAGCGTGTGTTTCGTCATAGCCAATAGAGTGATGGCCATTTCGGGTTAAAAATATTAAAAATTTAACAGAATAAAACGTTTTTAACAACAGCAGGCTCTTTACCGACACTGGCGCCACCTAGCGGAGAGAAAAATGCTTTCGTTTTGTCTGAAGTCCCCGAAACGGAGTCGGATTAAATTGAATGTAAGACTGATTGTGAGTTAACCCAATGTTAGGTTTGGAAGAAAGTTGTCCAATTTTCTCTTATGTTTGAACATATTTCAGAAAAGTCTGAATCCGAAATTCAGACTCTTGAGGTCTGGGAAGTCTGACGCAAGTTCATATGAATTTTGAGAATGAGTACAAATATTAAGACACTTCGAGTATGAATTAAGCTTTCAGACAAAGCGTTTAAGAACTAAGACAAAAACTCTGATTTTTCAGAATTAAGTCTGATTTACAGATTCAGACCGCTAAGTCTGACAAAATTGGTCTGAATTTTCAGAATTTTTTTAACAGTGTTGGATTGGTTATTGTCTGTGTTTTTTTCTGTAATTTAAAAGGAGTTTTTATTAAATGTAATTTCAAAGTGCATAACGCATTGCACCGATTGGCGCTATTTTCGTAACGTTTCACAGTGTTCGGCTGGTCCTCAAAATCAAAGAGAGAGTGACGGTCCATAACCTCCCCCCCCTTCTTTTTTAGCACCTACCTTTAATTTACCTTGAGGTTCGTTAAGTTTCCAGCATGAGGGGATCCTTTGGACCTCCAAGGACCTCTTCTCTGCCCATTGGAACTTGTCTGCAATGTGTAGCAGGGTCGCAGAGGACTTAAAAAATAAAATGTAAAATGGTCTTGGTCATATATGGGGTACCATGACCACCCCGTGGGGCACCGTGACCATACTGGTGTTTTCGCCCAAGAAATGTACTTTTTACCTGTATTCTCATTGAAATGGTTTCTTCGGCTGTCTTTACGATCAGGCCAGTCGCCTCAGGCGAAAAGACACTCTTATAGACTAAAGGAATTAAAGAATAATCCGTTCTCAGGGGCTTCAAAATGGAAGGTTTAGCAGGGTTAACTCTAAGGCTCTCACATTTCACATCCGAAGCTTTGATATGTGTTACATTTTTTTAATGTCTTGCAAAGATGAATCCGCAAGCACATTGCGATTTGGTCATATTAAAAATTTGTTGGCGCATTTTCTTAACTGCTGAAAAGTAACCTTACAGCTGTTTCTGACAACGCTTTTGCTACGGATCTCTTTTCCCGCCTCTTTTAGGGTTTGCGGCTGTTGGATACGCTTTCAAAAAAGACGAAAAAAAAACCTTTTCCAGAATGTTTTTTCTTACATCTAATCGCAAGGGACAATTAATTATTTTCATTCCCAAAACTCCCAAAACGTTCTTGTCAGTTTTTCCTTATTTTTAACACGAAACAATAAAGATCATACAGTTTAGTGTAGTGTTTTCGGAAAAAAAGCATTTTCAGTGCAGTCACCCCTTAAAACAATTGAAGTTTTAGGCTACCGCTGCTTTTAAGTGCCCTTTTTAGGTCCCAGGTATTTGTCCCACGAATTGTTCGGAGCCGCATTCGGAGCAGCCCTGCGTCCAAATGCGGCAACGCATTCTTCATCTTAGGTTTTAAGGGTGAAGGTAGCTATAATCTGCCTGTTTTTTAGAGCTTAAGCTTCAAATTAACCTCCATATCTGATAAGCTTCGAACTCTCAGATTAAATCTATAGAGGGTGGTTTAATTTCAACTACTAAATGGATTTCCTGTGGCAAATATCTCAAGTTCAAGGACATTAGAACCGAATTTCACTCTAAAGCATCCATAAATTTGACGTGTCCACAGAACGAGAAAAAAGTTTGCGATGTATATCAGTGCTCTGCCTGGAAACGGCTGACATTGGACCATGCGGGCGTCTAACGCACACTACCACAACGGCGTTTACTTTAGCACGGCATGTGGCGTAGACCCTCATGCCGCAGACACGGTTAGGTCCTTCATGCTGAAGCTGTCCTACTTGCAATGGAAGCGGCCCACGAATCTCGAATGGTATCGCTCCGCTGTGTGTCTCAGTATCTGCTTATTCTTCTCCTTACGTGCAACTGCAACCACGGCAAACCTCTCAATACTTTCGCTGTAAGTTGTTCTGAGATCGACCGCTCATATCCCACTAAATGACTTGCACTGTAACTTTTCTAGCGAATGCTGGTGCACTGTGCGATGAGAGTGCCGCCTTGAAACCATACCGGATGATGTCTTGCACAGGGATCCGATCCTTAACTTGCCTCGCAAGGGCGTTAAAGTTATAACCGGCAACCTGTGACTTAGTCTAAAAGGACAGTGAGCCCTCGTTGTTTGTCCCGGCCTCGGGAGATCCAGCGGACTAACATCCAGAGAGGGTGGTCATTGCCCGGCCGGCGCTGACCGCTCCAGGTAGGGATTACGGCGGCCTGGCCAGAGCCAAGGTGGTGGGGATGACTCGGGGACAAACAACGAGGGACGAGACGAGACAAACAACAAAGGCTCACTGTTTTTTTAAATTATTATTTTGTTCAACTTGTCAAATTTGTAAGTGGAAGAAATGATTCAGATGAACAAAATGAACTCCCTGTACAGGAAATATTTTTAGGACATCCTAGTTTCAGTTTCACTTTACAGTGTCCTTCAGCATCCCTGATTTTCACCTACACAAGATTTTCGACACGTATGCATCTGGGGATTTTGCTTCCTTGTTCCGAGATAGTTCACTAAAAAGCAATGTAAATCTGCTGTTTCTTCGCAGGGGACGTACATAGCGTTCACACATTCATTCGCCACATGTCCGTCTGACGGCACATTCGCGATGAACCTGCGATGCAGCCACTTCAACCCGGCTAAGCCCTACGAAAAGCAGACACTCACAGGAAATTATACTCTAAAAGAGGACTTGACGGACTCAATGTGGGTAAGACTAAATTGTTACCGGAGCCTGCACCGTGAGAAAAGATCACTGTAAATATTGTACTGGTTACTCCAGACTTCACGGTATTATAAGGCAGCATTTACCGTACAGCCTACAGTGACTTTTGATTTCTTTGAATCCGCTCAAAATAGCTTGTCGTCTGCTCCCTTGGCCGAAAGTTACGTACAGGCAGTAGGTACGAGAAAAGAATTGGTGTGAGCTGCACTACTCCAATGCAGCAACGCAAATCTTACGCACCTTGGCCTTGGACCCCCTGTTACTCCTGTACTTTTTAACATATCTATTCTCTTTTTTCCTTTCTCTTTTTTTCTTTTCTTCCCTCTCTTTTCTCTCTCCTCATCCTTTTTCTTCCTGCTCTCTTCCTCACCGTCCTCTTTTTCAAAATTACGGTGGTGCCGCTGTACCACTACCGTAAACCCCGTGTGGGCGTCCGCGGTTTAAGGAGCTCCGACAGGGGGTGCGATTGTGTATATGGGTTGGTTCGCCGAGATGTGGGAATTCGAGGCACAGGATTTCCAAGATTTTAATGTGCGGCTTCTCTAGAAACTGAAGTGAGTGCATGGCATGCTCCTGCTAGGAGTCAACCACAAAGCACACTCTTCCCAAGAGCATGCTTGCAAGCACACTCTTCCCAAGAGCATGCTTGCAAGCACACTCTTCCCAGGAGCATGCTTTCAAGCACTCTCCTTGCTTGCAAGCATGCTCCCAGGAAGAGCGTGCTTGTCAAGCATGCTCCTGGGAAGAGTGTGCTTGCCAAGCATGCTCTTGGGAAGAGTGTGCTTGCAAGCATGCTCTTGGTAAGAGTGTGCTTTGTGGTTGACTCCTAGGAGGAGCATGCCATGCACTCTCTTCAGTTTCTAGAGTTTTCGAATGAAATTTTGCAGGTTCATTCAAGATGGCTCTAGAATGGTCCCCAAGAAATATTAGAGCTTAATTCGTTCCAGTTTTGTTTCAAATGGCTTAAATGATCCAGGAAGCGGAAGAAGGGGATAACTCCATTTTGACAATTTTTCAGGAGCAACAAAAAACTGTTAGCAGGGAAATCTAAAACTGAACAATAGAATGTTATAGATGATAACAAGTTCAAAAATTGTAAGTTAAATTTTGAGATGAACATCAGGAGTGTCAGGTCACCGCGTATAGGATATCTGTGACTTTCCGCTAAAATGGAAAACAGAGTCATTTCAACTTGTATTTCTTAAACGAAGTGGAATTTGGAGACATGTGAAGTGGAACTATAGTCAGCAGAGAGTGTTGGTTCCTCTGGTGCATTTTTTGGACTTAGCTCTTTTTTCCGTTTAAGTTCTTAAAATTAAAGGGGGGTTAGTTGACTTGATTCTTTTTACAATGGATACATAAAAACACAAGTTGAGTTATCTCCTATCAACAATATGTTGAACGGAGTCATGTTGACTTTGGTTGAGATGTTTCCATTTTCCGCTAAAGTGAGAGTGTAAAAGGGGTCAAGTTGAGTTACATCTTTTTTCGAAGTGGATTTTCTCTTTGACTGCTAGGAATTGAGTCAAATAATTTGGTGCAATGATGTAAACCATTCTAAGGCACAACGACACAATAAAAACTCAATTTGGAAATAAGTCAAATTATTCCCTTCTTCCGCTTCCTGGATCTAATGTTGAAAGCGTACTTTGGGTCGACGTTTGTTACACGCGCGTCGACGTTCCATACATTCAAGAGGTTTGGGTGGAATTTCAAAGTGGACAAAACTGACATCTATTTACAGAAATCGATTCGTCTGATCAGGACAAACAAAAAATCCTAACATATGTAATAGGCTTGGATGCGAAATAAACAACTTCAAAAGTGCAGTAACAGGCGTCGACGCCGGGTTCCTGGCTGCTTACCTCATTACACTTTATAAAAACCATCTATTTCGCAAGGAAATACCCAAGGGGGCAACCACTCGAAACTTTTTTGTACACAGGATTCTTCAAAGGTAGAGATCTCGTCGAGATTTCGCAAGAATTCGCAAGATTGCGCGGGATTTTGCGTCAAAATTATGCCAAATTTCCTGTGATTTTGATGGGATTTCGCGAGATTTCGCCAGATTTTAATGGGATTTCGTGGGATTTCACCAGATTTCAAAGGGATTTCGCTAGAATTCTGCTGATTTCGCGCAAGACTTCGGCAAATCGAGTGTACACAGGACTTCGCGAGTGGTTGCCCCCTCGGAAATACCAAATTTGCTTGTGCGTAACAGACGCTGTATGGTGATGGTGTGAATAGGTCAGATGAATCGGCAAACATGACCTTGTCCCAGAATTTGAAAATGTTTATCCGGGGGAGGTCGAAATTACGCGTTGGCGATTACAGGTTTATGATAGCGAGTTACGCCAAAGCGACCTATTTTCCTTGTTTTGAACCTAACATACTCCTGTAGACGTATTTCCACCGTTGCAGTTTTGTTAAATATCAATTTCGAAGCCGAATAGGGTTGGCGCTTAGGTTGGTGCAGGCACATAACACGCTTAGAGCCGCGAAATACAAATGCCTGTAGCAAGTGACGCAATTTGCGGACAAAACTTTTCTTCCACTTTACGAACGAACGAATCAACTCAACGTTTCGGGACAAAGGTTTTTTTTTTATTATTTCAACAAAAATATATGTCCATAGAGCACAGGGCCCTGATTTGGACTTTTACATATACAGAGAGATTTACAATAGGCGGTGAACCGACCAAGAAAACCATGACAAGAACTTATAAAGACATAACAGTGAACCAGAACATAAAAGATTTGACAACGAAAAAAAATAAAGTAAGGGAGTATGGGGCGATTTGTAACAGGGGCGATTCGTAACAAATGCGTTTATTAATTTAAGTGGAGGGAGCAGAGGAAAATCTGAGTATGGCCCCTCTTTCGCTTCAAGTACAGGGTCCTTCAACAATCGAAGCAGATGTGATCGGTGCTCAGGTATAGTTTTGGAGGGCGTCTGAAATATAGGGTACACCGAAAACAGGCAAATCTTTTATTTTGAGTTCTAGGAAGTTGCAGTCTGAGTACCGTTAGGGCCTTGAAGCGTGACCCCTTTACAATGAAACCACGTGGCATAAGTTGCTTTTACTTTGTCCAGTGATAGTTAGGGACGTATTTCTTGCGTAACAATCATTTGGGGTGATTCGTAACAGACCCGTGTAAAAACAAGAATTGAGGTAGTTTTTGCAATTAAATGCTTGAATTCTTTCTCGAATCATCTGCTGCCTAATTCCAATACATTCACACAGCTCAAAATGCATTTTAAAGCGAGTTATTCTATTCTTTCCTCCAAAATTGAAAAAAGTGAGGTTAGGGTTGACAAAGCCGGTCAGTTAATGCTGAGGCTGTCAACGGCAGCCTTAATGTAGATTTTAAGGCGTCTGCAGGACATCCGAAGAACAACTGCTGGAGGAGATAACATTCCCGACGATGTTTCATTTAATGTGTAGGATGTTATGAAAAGCCCCATGGCTGTTACAAATCACCCCATGCTGGGGCGATTCGTAACAGCATGCAAGGGTTTGGAAAGCGTCTTAGATTTCCAAGATTACGGATTCCAGATTGATCGAATGGAGCTGCACAGTCTAGATGAAGGGCCAGACTGCTCAACTGGCACAAGTTTGACGCCGATATGCAGAATGTACTTAATTTTGTATAGAGAATTCCAAAATCTGTTACAAATCGCCCCATACTCCCTTAAATAATAATACAGCTGAACTGACTGACTAGAGAAACAATGACTTAATGCACTAGTGACATTATGAGTTGTACAGTGAAAGAAAATGTGATTTTAATTTATCCTTGATATTAGGAAAGACATGACTTTTTAAGGAAGTTGGTAGACTATTAAACAATAGGGTACTTTCGTAGATCCCTGAACCGGAAGCACACAGACGCCATGTTGGCGGAAGTAGATCCAAACTTGACATGGGAAAGAGACGTTCGTCAAAGGTATCGGCCACACTTGAACATAAGCAGTCGTTTGATACTTGTTTGCAGTGCATATGTGTTTCGCGAGCAATATTTGTACAGCTCGGCTATAGTTTTGGATCCGAAGAGAGGTTAGTTTCCGGCCAATTTGGCGTCTGCTGGTCTGCTTGCTTCCGGTTCAGGGTTCTACGAAAGTACCCTATATTAAGGACTTATAATAGGGTGTTTTTAAACCATATTTAGTTGTTTTTACCATAGGAAGCATGAAGTTTCCCGCAAATCTAGTATAGTGAACATGGATACTGTTATGGGTGAAGATAGGAGCATTTAGCAACTTTATTTTGTTATGATGATTCATGATAATCATGGACTGTTGAACTTGACAGATTACTTCAAATGGAAGGATACTTGTTATTAAAAACAACTGTTCGGTATGGAACCGTATGTAAACCTTTAACATACACTTGGCACTATTTTGCATGACCTTAATTTTATTAACAGTAAGTTGATAGGAAGTGCTCCATATGAAAGCCATATAAGAGATGTGAGAGTGAAAGTATGCATAGTAGAGCATTTTGAGAAACTTAAGAGAGACAGTTTTCCTTAACCTGTATAACAGTCTTAAAGTAGCACGAAGAGAAGGTAACAGTTTGTTGATATGGTTTTCCCAGGTGAGGCATTTATCAATCTCGACACCAAGATACTTTACCACACTGACTTGATCAATAGAGTAATTACCAATCTTAATATTTAACTTTTTGTCACTGGAATATGGTTTGGAGAAAAGAACACAATTGGTTTTCTTATTATTCAGGCTCAGCTTATTGAAAAGGAACCAATCATTAAGTAGGCTTAGCTCATTAGAGAGATTCAGTTCTAGATTAAGCAGGTTGGGGTCTGTGCAAAGGAGCACAGCATCATCAGCATATAATTGTATTTTACCACACAACCCAAGGAAGCCGATGTCGTTAATATAAATTATGAAAAGTAATGGTCCTAAAATAGAGCCTTGAGGCACGCCACAAGTGATGAGCTTCTTTGTACTGTTGACGTCCCCAATTCTTACATATTGGGTACGCTGGAGATAGATAAGATTTAAACCAATTAAGTTCTTTGCCTTTGATTCCAATTTTCTCCAGTTTATTGAGTAGAATTTCATGATTAACCGTATCAAAAGCCTTTTTTAAGTCGATAAATACAGCCCCACAGTAAAGATTATCATCCAAGTCTGCTTGTATATTGGTAATCAGATCGAAGACTGCCCCCTGGGAATCCTTATCCTTCCTAAAGCCATACTGAGATTTATGGAAAAAGTTAATATCAGCCAAGTATGTTTCCAATCTTTTCTTGACTGCCATCTCCTCTACCTTGGATATACCAGAGAGAATTGAGATAGGCCTATAGTTGCCAGGATCAGATTTGTCACCAGGTTTAGCTAAACGCTTGACCGCAGTTATTTTACAAAGTGAGGGAAAAATACCTTGTTCAAAGGATTTGTTTATTAACTTGGTCAGAGGCGGCACTAATATATCAATATGATCCTTCAACAATTTACTACTAATTCCATTAGGGCTGGAAGACTTATTGCCTAATCCTTTGATTATTTGGTATATTTCACAATCATTAGTATGAGTGAAGGTAAAAGTACAATCTGAACCTGGTATATCGTAATTGTTGATTGGTTTATCCAAGATATTTGATAGTGATGGACCAACATTTACATAAAACTCATTAAGCACATCAACAATCTCAGTTTGACTAGAGAAAACTTGACCATTGTAAATTAACTTATCTATAGTAGTGTGACCCTTTGACTGATCAACGCCTGCTGTCTCCTTCAGAAATGTCCATATAGATTTACTGTCACCAACACAGGATTCAAGTTTACTACTGGTATAGTTCTTCTTTAGGTATTTCCTTAGCTTATTGATTTTATCACATATATTATTGTATTCCTCTTTAAAAAGTTTATTATTGGGGTGAAGCTTACGCTTCCTATATAATACTTGTTTGGTGAGTGACATTTCAGCGAGCTCAGGCGTTGCCCAGGGGTTAAGCTTAGAATACTTATTCCTAAACTTACATCTAGTAACAGATTCACTTAGAGCATCACTAATACTTTTATGGAGGGTGTCAGAAAATTCTTCAACAGATTCACTATCAACTAACCCACTGATTTTGTTATTCAAAGCTTCTTTGAGTTTGTTGGAATCAATCTTATTAAAGTATTCAGGGTGATCTGCCAGTTCAGCAGTCGATGCACCCTACCTCATAGAGAGAATAATTGAGTTATGGTCACTAATATCATTGGCAGCTGTTATGATATTTATAGTGTCCCTGTTGAAATTTGATGCAATGTGGTCAATAATGGTTCCACTATTAGGTCTAGTAATTTTGTTGTTGAGAATAGAGAGCCCTTTGGAGGAGAAGTAGGTGAGGTAGTCATCACTGGGAACAGAACTGGTAAGAATGTCAATATTAAAGTCACCTAAAACTAGGCAGGGCTCATTCCCAATTTTTAAGAGGAATGGATCAAGAAGGTTGATGCACTCTTCAATTTTAGACCTATGTGGGTTGTATATCACAAGCAGATTGAGAATCTTTCCAACTACCAGGTTAAAATGTTGATTAAAGTGTCCACTCTCGAAAACACACAAACTTTGGGTGTTTTAACGGCGTTATAAGAAATTATACTTCACATTGTGTTTCAATCGGGTATTTGGACACCGACAAAACTGCCATTTTTGTACCTTTTCGGCGCTATATGTGGTACAAGTAGTCAAAAATTTTGACTGAAAACATGTACATGCCTTTCTCTGAAGGTGCTTTGTTGTTACATAAGGAGTATTTGCTGATAGGAAGTCAGTGCAAGTGGTAATTGAGCTAAATATCTTTGATTTTAAAATTTCCACATTTTGACGAACCAACCCATGTTTTGTCCACCTACAGGGGCACGTTATGCTGGTTGCCTACTATCAGGCGTTTTGGGAAGCTCACGGGGGGGGGGGGAATTGCCTCTTCGTCCTCCCCCCCCTTAAACGGCGCCTGCGTGTGGCGCCCCTGAACTTGTATAATAGGGCCATTCCACGTCAGACTACCGAACCCCTAAAATGACCTATCTCAGATTTCACTTAATTTTGGTGGGCTGGTAGGGAGTCTATTTCACTAACCCGAATTATCACTTGCCCGAATTGTCACTAGCCCGAATCTTCACTAGGCCGAATTATCACTAACCCGAAAACACGACCATTTGGTCAAAAACGAAATTTGTTTCACTGACCCGAATTGTCACTAGCCCGAATTATCACTAGCCCGAAAACATGCGTGCAGGAGCGTTGTTTCACTGGCCCGAGTTTTCACTAACCCGAATTGTCACTAGCCCGAAAGCGGAGCTTTTCCATTCCCTGTCTCACTAACCCGAATTGTCACTCACCCGAAATGTGGTGGAGGGGGCGGCCGCAGCTAGTGTCTTTAAGAGTGTCTGAAACTAAATTGTCCTACCCATCCTTACCTAACCTAACGGGCTCGCGACAGATCTTATTCTAACCGTGACAAATCTTACTCTAACCGCGACAGATCTTAACTCTAACCGCGACAGATCTTACTCTAACCGCGACGGATCTTACTCTAACCGTGACACATCTTACTCTAACCGCGACAGATCTTACTCTAACCGCGACAGATCTTACTCTAACCGCGACAGATCTTACCCTAACCGAGACAGATCTTACTCTAACCGTGACAGATCTTACTCTAACTAAGATAGATCTTACTCTAACCGCGACAGACCAGCCCTATTCGCGGCAGATCTAACCAACCCAGCAGAAGCGGATACGTCCCCCACCCTGGTGCCGAGTTTCGGGCTAGTGACCATTCGGGTAAGTGAAGATTCGGGTTAGTGAAACACTTATTCCACAGGCGTGGCCTTCGGGTTAGTGACAATTCGGCCTAGTGATAATTCGGGCTAGTGAGACACAACCAGAATATTGCGAAAATACGGAACTACTTCAGGAAATTCGGGCTAGTGATAATTCGGGTTAGTGACAATTCGGGTAACTGCCTTGTGGGATATTCGGGCTAGTGATAATTCGGCCTAGTGAAGATTCGGGTTAGTGACAATTCGGGCAAATGATAATTCGGGTTAGTGAAGAACTAGTGAGTCTATTTCACTAACCCGAATTATCACTTGCCCGAATTGTCACTAGCCCGAATCTTCACTAGGCCGAATTATCACTAACCCGAAAACACGACCATTTGGTCAAAAACGAAATTTGTTTCACTGACCCGAATTGTCACTAGCCCGAATTATCACTAGCCCGAAAACATGCGTGCAGGAGCGTTGTTTCACTGGCCCGAGTTTTCACTAACCCGAATTGTCACTAGCCCGAAAGCGGAGCTTTTCCATTCCCTGTCTCACTAACCCGAATTGTCACTCACCCGAAATGTGGTGGAGGGGGCGGCCGCAGCTAGTGTCTTTAAGAGTGTCTGAAACTAAATTGTCCTACCCATCCTTACCTAACCTAACGGGCTCGCGACAGATCTTATTCTAACCGTGACAAATCTTACTCTAACCGCGACAGATCTTACTCTAACCGCGACAGATCTTACTCTAACCGCGACGGATCTTACTCTAACCGTGACACATCTTACTCTAACCGCGACAGATCTTACTCTAACCGCGACAGATCTTACTCTAACCGCGACAGATCTTACCCTAACCGAGACAGATCTTACTCTAACCGTGACAGATCTTACTCTAACTAAGATAGATCTTACTCTAACCGCGACAGACCAGCCCTATTCGCGGCAGATCTAACCAACCCAGCAGAAGCGGATACGTCCCCCACCCTGGTGCCGAGTTTCGGGCTAGTGACCATTCGGGTAAGTGAAGATTCGGGTTAGTGAAACACTTATTCCACAGGCGTGGCCTTCGGGTTAGTGACAATTCGGCCTAGTGATAATTCGGGCTAGTGAGACACAACCAGAATATTGCGAAAATACGGAACTACTTCAGGAAATTCGGGCTAGTGATAATTCGGGTTAGTGACAATTCGGGTAACTGCCTTGTGGGATATTCGGGCTAGTGATAATTCGGCCTAGTGAAGATTCGGGTTAGTGACAATTCGGGCAAATGATAATTCGGGTTAGTGAAGAACTCCCCTGGTAGGGACCAACCCCCTGAACACCCAAACCATAGGATTTTGTAAAATATCAGACGGTTTAGGAATATGAGTTGCGTTGTCGCGTTATCGCGTTAACTAACGTTAATGCCCACACTGTTAAAAATTATGTTGTAATTTAGCAGTAAATATGTTGCTAATTTTCTTAGCGATCAAAGTTGTTTTCAAATGACTTTTGTTGTTTACTAACGAGTTGCGTCGTTAGTCCTCAAGATGTTTGTAAACCGATAGACAGCCTTATTTGCATCAATTTTTATTGCCGATTAGGTCACAGACCTAGTAGAGTCCCGGTTACCCCGCAGTAACCACTTCTTAGATTGTCCGGGTTGTTTGTACGCAGCAAAATATTGTTTTGAAACAGCATAAGTCATTAAAATAATTAGCAACGAATTCGTCGTTTCAAAACAAGCAAACTTGTTCACAAACAACAGCGTTGTCGAGGTTGGTAACTGTGTTGTTGTTTTAAAACAACTATTTTTAACAGTGCAGCAGGAAATGTTTCGCGTAAACGATAAGTTAACGATATCGTTCACGACAAGTTAGCGTCATCGTTCACGACAAGTTAACGTCATCGTTTGCGACAAGTTAACGTTATCGTTCGCGACAAGTTAACGTTAACATTAACGCCGTTAATTAACTTGAACAACCCTGCTTCGCGAGGTACTAGCTCCAATGACCCCCTCTGTGTCTTGGCCCTGAACAGGCTCGCGTGACATTCGCTGTTTGGTCCAACAACGAATGGAAACAAAACGCTTTCATTATCAACTACCCTCGCCGTGCGTGCACCATGGTGAGAGAACTTGCGCCAGATCTCTTCCGAATCATGGCACCGAGCCAGCCTCAAGAGAAGGCAGCGCCGTGCGTCATTCCAGCGGTATGAGGTTCAAAGTCGGAACGGCTACACAGTAAAGTCCTTACGGATAGCGTGTTTGTAGGTTACGGATAGTTTTGTGCAGACATATTTCGGATCGAATTTTGTTTGTAATACAAATGTTTTGGTCCGTAATACAAAGGTTTTCCGTAATTTGCATATGATTTCGTTGTAACACACATATTCCCCAATCTATTTGTATTACGGACAAAAACATCCGTACAAATAAAATTCGATCCGTAATATGGCTGCACAAAACTATCCGTAACCTACAAACGCGCTATCCGTGAGCACTTTACTGTGAACGGGGCTATAACTTGGGACACTTTTTCACGTTTTGTTTAACGCCAGAGGCAAGATTCTCGACCAAAACCATTGAATCGTAACTATTTTAAAGTTTGACCCTTTTCCCATGATTTCATGCTGGTCTGGTTCAATTGCCTCGATTATATCGTTCGGAAACGGTCTCGAAAGAGCGAAGGGTGTCCCAAGTTACCCCGAGACAGTAGGTAATTACCTACATTTCCATGCATCTATTGATGATAATGGATGTTATAAATTTTAGTCACAATATGTAGACCACGAATTCAGGCCTAGGGTCAGGGCGGGGAAGAACTGGACAGGGAAGAACTGGACACCCCATATTTAACTTCAAATACCGGAGGCTCAGGTTTTGAGCGTTAGGTGACTTGGTAATCTGATTTAATGAGACAATTCCTCCCACTTCACCAAAATTTTTGTCCAACAACTGGAACTAAGTATTGGTAATGGTTTAAAAGCTGGCTCTTTGAGCATAAGCCCAATGCCCAATGTTAATACCGTACTGTCATCTTTTACTCCAAAGATAAAATATCACGAGACATGAACAAGATAAATTATGTTGGCATATTGAGCAACAAGTGGCCTCTGCATTGCACTTCATGAGACGATTCACTGAATTTGACAAAACTTGGTCTCCGCCAAATGCTTCAGATCAGCCTGCCCTAAACTGAGTCACTTCATATGAACTATGATTACATATTCCAGTCCATATTATTTAATTCACTTGTTTGAAATGAAAGAATGACAAAAGGCTTCTCAAACATAACTAATAAATTTGGGAATTCATTAGTTTGAAGAAAAAGATATATCGAAAAGTGACTCAAGCAGACAAGAAGTCAATTAAGCGATTCAATGCTGGCAATGGAATGTTACTCGACTGAAGGAATCGCTTTGGTGTGGCATTAGGGAATTGGTGACGACAAAGGGTGATCCATGAAGACCAACCCAGACCCGTACATTACCCATAGTTAAACAATTTTATATCAATACGTTTCAATTGAATCTAATATTGGTTCTTGCAGTTTTTGGGGGTGCACTGTTAAAAATAATCGTAAATTTACGGCATTTTGTAGAACAATTATGTCGTTTTTAAACGACATATTTTGTTACGACTCAAGTCGTAAATATACGACTCGAGTCGTAAATTTACGATATATCTGTCGCTAATTTTGATAGCGAGACGTTCCGTTTTGAAACGAATTAAGTCCTAAGTTTACGACTTTATCGTAAGTTTACGAACGATCGTAATTGATTTATGGAATATGTCGTGCAGTTATGACTTTAGTCGTACATTTACGACTCTTGTCGTAAATTTGTGACATGAATCGTAAATAAACGACACCAAATCGTAAAAAAACGAGCAAAATTGTAACTTTTGACCAACTTTTCGGGGATTTCAGATTCCAAAATATTTAATCGCGATTACGACATTGTCGTAGAAAAACGATTTTTTAGTCGTTCAGTTACGACGAAGTAGTTTGCGAACGATTTCCGTCGCTATCAAAATTAGCGACATTTTCGTCGCTAATTTACGACAAAATTTCTGACAGTGTGCTGGTCATGAAAACCACTTCCATTTCTACTCCAGACTTGTATTTTCATCCCAAATTAGGACATTTTTGGACCAAACTTTTCAAATCGAGTTTTATATTGTTTCCTGCAGTTTTTGGTGTGCTAAACTCAAAAATGACCTCCAAATTTTCCCCAGACTCACGCTTTACCTAATTTTGACCACTTATGGACCAAATTTTTTGAATTGAGTTTGATGTTGATTTCAACAGTTTTTTGTGTTCTGATAACGAAAATCACCTCCATTTCGACTCCAGGCTTATATTTTCATCCCAAATTAGGTCATTTTGGACCAAAATTTTCAAATCGAGTTTTATATTATTTCCTGCAGTTTTTGGTGTGCTGAACTCAAAAATGACCTCCAAATTTTTCCCAGACTCACGCATTACCGAATTTTGATCAATTTTGGACCAAAATTTCGGAATTGAGTTTGACGTTGATCCCAACAGTTTTTGGTGTGCTGATAACGAAAATCACTTCCAGTTATACCCCAGACCTACATTTCACTCAATATGAGCCCACAAACTGCGCATTTCGTTTACTTAGGAAAAGTCCGAAGTGCACAAACCATAGACAATCAACTATATCCATAGACCAACTGCTTCATGCCCGGCTGGGATCCATGTGTTACGCTACGCCGCTCCCTGATTGGTCGGTACCTTTCACTTCAACATTTCGAGGTTAAAAACTCGACAAATGTAAATTTTAGTGGGCTGATTGCATTCAACCTGTTCAAATCTATGTTTCTGGCTCTTGGTTTTTGAGTAAAGCTTGTTGGTATAAATACCAAGTGAAACACAAACAAATCAGTTGTCGGCACGAGCGGCACGAGCGGTGTTCCTCCGTAAAACTTCCTCTGAGGCTCTTAAATTAAAATTCATTTTAAAAATCGAGCCGTTTGATGATATTCCTCATTTATGTGAGCTTCTTTTACACCCACTGAAAGCAGCTGAACATCAACTTAAAAGGTATAAACTGTTCCACAAGTGTGGCATCGACTGCACCAAGCTGCCTCCGCCAGCGAACGCCGCGTCCTAATTGGTGGAGCTCGAGCCTCCTCGACCAATCAGGACGCGGCGTTCGCTGCCGAGGCAGCTTGGTGACCAAAGCCGACCAATGACCAGTGACGTGAAAGGTACCGACCAATCAGGGAGCGGCGTAACACATGGATCCCAGCCTGGGCATGAAGCAGTTGGTCTATGGATATAGTTGATTGTCTATGCACAAACTCGCATCGCTCAGCCACACTACGCGCCCACACTATACGGCGCGTACCCCTAGTTCTAAATAGAGTTGTTTCATCTACAGATAACACGATCTTGACCCTTGTAACTTTTTAAGTTCTCGGGACTGGGGGGCTCCGCCCCCCAGACCCCCCTTCTTCCAAGACAGGAGTGTTCTGCCTGCAGAAAACTCGATTTTTCGCCGTTTTTTTAGGTGTTTTTCGGCTATAAAAACTGAACTACGTGAGCTAGGTTAGTGAAATTTCGCGTGTGCCGAGCCAAGAACATACCTAATAAGCCTGCAAAATCTCAGCCAGATCGGCCGAGCCGTTCAGGAGGAGTAGTGCACACAGACACACACGCACACAGACAGAAATTGTTTTTTAACCGCACTGGAGTAACAGGCTTCGCTATCGCTCAGCCAATAAGAGTGTACTATGTACACACTTCAGTTTGCAGAGCACCTCACCTTAAATCGTTTCAGAAACAAAGTGTTAGTTTGATTAAGACCCATCGTAACATTTGCAGGGGATGACCATCTGGAAAAATGAACCAATAGCCTGGGAGTTCCCCAAGATGAAAGTGATGCCGTATGCACGCTACCTTCTGCACGTCGAGATGGGCTCCAACACGAGCCGTACTATAAAGGTCTGCGCGGAAGCGGATTCTGCATTGATGCCTAGACCATGATAACAGCCGATGCCGTCCCTGCTTGTTTCTTGATGAGGTATTGAATGTCGGTAAAGCGGTACCGTGAAGTTGGTGACTTCGGCAGACGGGGCGACTTCGACACTGCCCTAAAAGCACCATTTGGAGACACAATGTATCTGATCTCTTCTCAATTATCTCATTATTTGAATTGCTGTAGAAAATGAGGATGTGATCGACATGCCTGTAAAAACAGGTGAAAATTATCATCATGTTTGGAAAAAATTCCGTTTTAGGTCCTGCTAGTCGATATCATCCTACGGAAGTCACCGGACATTTCGAAGATGAACAGGAACAGAAGCTGCGACGAAATCAAGAACAAACAAGGGAGGGTGGGGCACCTAGTGACAGGGGCACCTTGTGACACAGGGGTGCCCTGGCCACCCTATGGCACTTTCAGACATCTTGAGGTGGCTAACCTAAAGGTCTTGTGCTGTGGAATCATGTTCAACTGAAAGTGATACTTCGAACAAAATATTTTAGCCCCTAGAATAAAAGCAAGAAAATAATTACCCAAAATCACAGATTTTACGACTTTTTTACAAAATGTTTTCTCGACATTCTTCCAGTAAACGGCACTGCCGATTGTTCTGGCACTTTTAATCAACGATAAGGACCTTTAGTAAGCTGTTTTCGCTGAACAAGCTCAAACATATGATTTTATTTCCTTAATATCAAATTTTGAACTAAAATGAGCCTCCGGGGCAGGTAGTGACAGACACACTCTATTTACCGTATTTCAACGATTTAAACGTTTCAAAACATCGATTTGGCAACCGCGAAGTAAATTGGCACCGATTGTCACACAACGGAACATAAATGAGACTAATTTGTTCGACAATTTCGTAGAACATTAAATTTGATTGGCAATGTAGTAAAATGCAGTTTCTAGGTACAAAATGGCGCCGTTCTGAATGGTTTGATATTAAAAAAGCTTAAAGAGCCTAAAACGGATAATTTTCAATTAGCTGGAGCGTCGCTCTATGCTGGTAATGTGAGTTACATGACCTGTCACTAGGTGCCCCGGGCTGGGGCACCAAGTGACAAGTGTAGAGGTCTGCGGGAAGCGATGTAAATAGGGTCAGGGCGGGGAAGAACTGGACGTTTTGCAATCTTTCTCGACTTTGACTCTAATTGACTATCTTTAGCCAATGTATCCGTTGGGTCTGTTGATCGAGCCTCAAAGATAGACATTTCAACCCTCAGCGAGTGCGTTTGCGGCTTCATTCAGTAATAAATGAGAAAAAAGCAGTGTGCGATTCTTCCCCGTCGAAACGGGGAAAAATCGAACACCTAAGGGAAAAAATCGTACATGGGCTTTAATTTAACAAAAACCTATGAAAGTAGGTCAGAAATCTCTTGGGAACGATATTTGGGGGAAACACTTGCGATACCCACTGAAGCAGGCGCACGAGTATTCCTAGGTAGACAGAAATCATCGTAGCATTGTTAGGGGGTCCGTGGCGGCACGTTTTTGAGGTTAAATGACCAAAATGTATGAAATCGTCAACAGCCGTGTTTGTTTTCCCACTAAATGTTGGGAAATGATAAAATACACTTGTTACGACCACTTTGGTGGGATGTTAGGACAATTCGTCGATGATTATAGAAAAAAGAGGTGTTCGATTTTTCCCCGCACCAGTGTACGGTTTTTCCCCGTCTCGTATTTAACCCTTCATATGTAATCCAGCTGGAAATCTGCTAAAACATTTGAACGTATCTTGGGCTCCACACTTCCAACTTTCGTTTACAATAAGAATATTCGTCACAGTAGGCTCGGAGAGTCGTCAAAAAGAGATATTGCGGGCACCAAGTTTGAAAGTTTTTGAGGTGTTTTAAACGAGACCTCGTTTAAAGGTGACTTTGAATACTTTCCGGTTCAAGTAGGCTAAATTCCTCTTAAACGCAATCTAGCAGATCATCAATAAGCAATACTGAATACTTTGCACGTCCCAAAACAGGCAAATTTGTGGCGAAAGTGCGGTGTGCGTTTCTTCCCCAACTTGCAGGTGTCCGGTTTTTCCCCGCCCTGACCCTAATAGAAATAGGTGTTGTCAAAACGCCACAACATGTTTTTGCGATCAAGGAAGGATCAAAGCAACCTTCTGAAGTGTAAGCAGATTCATTTATCGCACAGTATCGGAGTGAATGCCATAATCCAAAAAGTGTCACTAGGTGCCCCACCCTCCCTCACGGGACTCCAAGTAAACCTCACCTTCCGTGTGTTCGTATTCGAAACCTACTCTGCAAACTGAAGTGTGTACATAGTACACTCTTAATAGAGCATGCTTCCAAGCACACTCTTATTTACAGCATACTTGCCAGGCACACGCACACGCTTGCCAGGTCAGAGTGTGCCTGGCATGTAAATAAGAGTGTACCTTCCAAGTACACGCAAAAATACACTCGATCAGTCTTATCTAAAAGCATGGGCCAGTTTAAGTGTACTTGCCAGGTACACTCTTATTTAGCGTGTACATGCAATGTGCACTATTATAGCGTGTGCCTGGTAAGTATGCTGTAAATAAGAATGTGCTTGGAAGCTGTTAAAATTTTTTTCTTAAAATTCCGAACCACACGTGCTATAGCGTTTGGAATCTCGGTGAGTGATGCGTGAAGTGCACTGTGCGAAAAAACCACAGTGAATCCCGTTAATTTTTTTGCCGGGATCTCCTGTAGTTCAGAACACAGGATTTACTGTGCCTGGCTACAGTATTTACTGTACCTGGTATAGGATATTCCGTACTCCACTTCTGTGGTGTAGTACAGTAAATCCCGTCCAAAGTACAGTGGATCCTGTACTCTGAACTTCAGTGACAGCTGTACTAATCACTACAGGATTTACTGTAATCTTTTTCCCATAGTGTGAGGTGAAAGTGAAGCGCAAGAAGGTATAGAAGTGAGAGTGCCAAACCAAAAATTCGGAAATTAGGTGTGGGCTGCTTCAGGTGGTGAGTGCTTCCTCGCCGCGTGTTATGGTTGCCTGTCAGTATATGTTAATCGCTTCTAACACTGCCAGGAACAACACTACAAAAGCACACAAATTTCTGGCAAATTTTTTTATCAGGAATTTATAGTACGTCCAAAGTACAACAGTTGTTGTACAAAGTACAATGGAACCGGCATGACGAGTGCTGTGCAGTCCAGGCCTCGTTGTGGTTTGTTTTACTATCCACAGTTTTTCTTGCAGTGAATAGGGCTATTAAAATTAATAAAACCTTAAATCTAGACCACACTGGTAGCCGAGGAATGTGACGTCACGTTCGTTTTCACGTGAAAACGGCGATGTTAATTTGAGCGTGACAAACGGTGAAAATTTACAGTCAAACGAATGTGACAACCGCACCGCTTTGTCACGTTACTTCGGGTGTGACAGGCGACAGGCAAGCAGCTGATGAACTGTCACATTAAAATGAATGTGACACATGGTGCCCAAGTACACATATGTCACATCCAAACGAATGTGACACCCATGTACTGTCACATTCATTTGAGTGTGACATGCCCACTTTGTCACGTTCGTTTCAATGTGACACGCCATGATTGTCAGAGTGTCACGTTCGTTTTAATGTGACAAATTGGGCATGTCACATTCAAACGAACGTGACAGTACATGGGTGTCACATTCGTTTGTATGTGACACGGCATGTGTACTTGGGTACCATGTGTCGCATTCGTTTTAGTGTGACAGTTCGACAGCTGATTGCGTGTCACACCCGAAGTAATGTGACAAAGCGGTGCGGTGTGTCACATTCGTTTGACTGTAAATTTTCACCGTTTGTCACGCTCAAACTAACATCGCCGTTTTCACGTGAAAACAAACATGACGTCACATTCCTTGGCTACCAGTGCAAGCAAATCGAGTGTATGCCCTAACTATATCAGAAAATTCCTTCCATCCTACAGGCAAGACCTTCTCAGCAAGAGGTTCAAGGGTTGGAAGGGAAGTCCAGGTGAAAGACTGCGTGAGTTGTGGCAATCAGTGCCACGGACTCGTTCGAGGGGGAAATCACTCTCAAAAATTGTGACCCGACTACTCCCTATTACGTTCTTAAACGTTTGCAGATTTCGAGACTTAAGCCAAAATCAGACCCTTATAACGGAAAATTCAGAAAATTTTGGCTATTGCGCTGTTACAATTACGCGTAATACAAGGAATCGGTGACCCGACTATTACCCGAGTGATTTCCCCCTCGGACTCGTTTTGAGCTTCTGCGGAGTCTCCGTTGAAAATTCCTAGAAACAACAAATATGGGTATTTTCGGAAGTTTTATTGACACACGGCCCATGAACCGTGAATTATTACCGTGGCCTTATAATATAAAAAGCAATATAATAAACTTCTGTATTTTTATATGAAACATCGTAAGAGTATCAAAACTCAGTGATTTGAGTACACAAGAGTTAGGCCGTAAATAATAAGTTGAGAAAAGAATTTTTTATTTTTATCAGCGAAACGGCAAAAATACAAAGGCGGAAAAGATATGCTGGAAAATAGGGATAATATAAACAAGAATATCAAGCGTACCTCAGTACACACGCAAAGAGACACAGACAAGTTAACTGTTTGCACTTCATTCATCATAGACTAATGCGCATTTCTCCGTCACGGTGCTTAACACCACAGCGTGCGTGCTTGGAGTGACTGAACAAGGTCCACCCATCGCCACCGTGTGTAGAGAAGGTATGGCAGCTGTGCTCCTGGCAGTATAGGCAATCCGATTCAAAATCACTTTGGTGAGCGTAAGCTGTTAAATGCAGCCGCGGGCACCTCCGAAAAACAGCTGAGACTTGCTCCCCGTGGGCCCACTCATGGAGGCAGTTGGTCCCAACCCCGAAGGTCACATTCTTCAGGTTGGGCAGCACTTTGCCGTCCAGAGCCTCCAGAAGGTCATTCGACACAGCCAGGAGGCACAAGGTCCTGAGATGCTTAAGTCGGTGAAGTGTGGCGGCCAGAGGGGGCAGCATCAGTCGCAACGAGTCTTCCCCGTAAACACCATTCTCAGTCGCGAAATTCAGGATGCGCAGGGTCGGCGCGGCATTTCGCGAGCCTGCCAGACTCGACACTAAATTGGTCGCCGCGCCGTGGTCCTCGCCTTCACGAAACTCCAAGACGAGCTCCTCTAGACGATAGACGGCCGAGCGAAGGTACTCCGTCACTGCGGGCATGAAGGCTTCCGTAGACGAGTATAGGTTGACGATGAGGAACAGCGTCCTCAGCGAGGGGCACTGCAGCAGCGCCGGCATGTCCTCCAGCAAGGTGCACTGCAACTCGCGCAGGCGAGGCAAGGCGGCGAGCAGCGGTGCTACGCCGGGATGGTGCGCCCGCAGTTGCACCACCTGCCAACGGAATAGGCACTAGACATCCAAACATCCATTCGGAAAAGTCGCCCCTCTTGATTCACCCTTGGGAATTTCAAAAAACGAAAATTGACCTTGTTTTTGGGTTCTGAACCCCAAATAGCTGTTCCGAACGACACTGAAAGTTCAGGATCGAGACCCTGCGGTCTCAAAAATGCATAATGCCCCTGTCGACACCACTCCCACTAGCGAAAATTTGACGAATTGGAACACTAAAACTCGTTTTTCTTCCATATTTGAACGAAGTTTCCAACCAAATTTTGATTGTTAGTAGACTTAAGTATGGACCATAACATACAAAAAAGGCAACAATACTAATTTTGAGAAAATTGCGTTCAAAATTTTGACTTGTTCAATTTCTGTAAAATTTGAACATTTTTGTCAAAATGTTGCAATAGACTGAAAGTCCAATTCCATATCTTTCGATTGAGCCCAGAATGAGCTCTGTAGCTTCATTTTGGAAGAAACTACGGCGTTTTCAAAATAGGGCTGCAACGAAAATCAAAATTTCTAACGCAAGCCATAACTTTTTCAAAAAACAGTGTTTTTCTCTCAAAATTGGTTTTGGGGGGTTTCAGACCATAGCCAACAAGCTCGTAAAGTTTCATCGAAATCGGAGAGATCACGTGCAAAAGTATGTCGAACCCCCATGGAATGACCCTATTGGACACAAACCTCCAAAGTGGCTGCATGCCACTCGAGGTGGCGGGGCAGACAGGGGTCCCTCAACGTGGAAGAGTACACCAGCTCCTGCAGGGACGCTGGTACTGATCCCCGGGGCGTTTGGGGGTTTTCTCACTGGGACGTCGGGGTCGGTTCCATGTGGAAACGTCGTCCAATCCTCGGGCAATCCATTTAAAAATAACTGATGTTTCCCCAAATCTAAGACGAGGAAAAGTCCAAATTTGAATGCAAGACTAAAGTTGTAACGTGGGTGCCTTCAAATTTGTCAAAATTCGGGTGCTTGCAAGTAAAAAAACGTTGAGCTGATTTATACGGCGTCAAGCGCTTGGGTGTATTTGCAAACCTTTTTTAAGTACTTCCTTACAAAGGCGGGGGCTGGGCAAGTACACGCTTACAAACGCTGCTTGTTCGCCTGGGTTTTACGGGTCAAAGCGTTTTGGGCAGTGGGGTACTTGGCACCCATGCGTCGAGTAAGTTCGCGACTCGGCAAGCGAGTTTGGAAAGGCGGGGAGGCCCCGGTGGCGGGCGGACACGCTTAGCGTCGGCCCGGCGTCGCCTTGGTTTTTGTGGTACAAAGTCGGTTTTCAGGTCGAGTTGGTATCAAATGGTTCTTTTGTTTACACATTTGCGTCGAGTCCTCGAAGTTCCGATGACGATCGTGCATCAATGTTCCGATTTTGTCACAATTGGGTGTTCCCCGGCCCTTTGTTACCCGGTCCAGCGTCTTCCGCAAGCATATGTGGAAGCGTGTTTCAACGCAGCTTTCCAACAACAGCTTCGAGCGGTACTGGTCCGTTTTTTAACCCAGCGCTCACGCGCCCCGGCAGGCCTGCGGAGGGGCAGCGGTACCTCAAGCAACAGTGACCAGTGTCCAGCCGGCGTCAGTGTAGTGTGTCAGTGCCCCATGTTGTGAAGATCAGTGGTTTTGTTCATTGCGCAATCGGTCCTACCAAGTGTTCGACGGTTCAGTGGCCGAGTGTCGCCGCTCACCAACTGTGCCGTTCACCCGTGTTCAACGAATCGTTCAGGAAAGCGCCCACTGCGCTTTGGTTTCTCCTGAGCGTCGCAGCAAGCCAGCGCCCGGCGTGGGCACGCCAGCCCCCTGTCGCTCCCCTCCACAACTCGGCATGTGGCGTAGCTACACCAGGACCACCCCGCGCCCGCACCCCAGCCTGGAGTCAGCAGCAGCCGAGGAAGGAAGGACACCTACGCCGCCTATGGATAAGTGCCTGCTCTGGTTTTGTTTTTCTCCTTTTTCTTCTGGCCGCGCGCAGCCCGGGCTGCCCCCCCCCCCTCCTCCCGCCCCGCCTTAGGGCGAGGGCGTCGCACGCTGTGTTTTGTGTTTTTCACGCTCATTTACAGCTCTAGGCCTAGTCCGGCGAGCAGGCCTGGTCCTCGCACCCCCCCTCCCCCTCCCCTCCCGTGTGTGGTGGGCCAGGCGTGTGTGGGGTGGGGGTGGGGCTCCGCTCGCTCCTTCTTCGTCCCTTCTTTCTCTCTCATTCGCGCTGGAGCTCCTTCCTTGTCTATTGCCTTCTCGCCCCCTCCGCCCTCCTCCCCTTCCAGCCAGTGGTCACGGTCCATTTGCATGTCGCATGTCTTTTCCTTGCAGATCAGCGAGCCCTGCACTTTTACTTTCTGCGCGCCAGATTCGGCAGCGTCGTGGTGGATTGCCCACGCTAACTCTTGTAGCCTAGGCCTGTTGGCGGTAGGGGTCAGCAGCTGGTCTTGTGGTATATCAAATTATTTGTGTTGTGTGCTTAATACTCTCTTGCAGCTAAACTTTTCGACTCAAGGGTGACACCTCATGGATGGGAATGCGGCTACGGCCTTCGACCCGTGAAGTTTGGTGTTTCCCCGACCTGCAAAAAGGGTGCCGGGCCTGACCGCTCGGAAGTCACACCCGCGGTACCCCTGACAAGGGTGCTGTGCCCTGTGTCGTATGGCTAGTCATGTGACTAGCCGCGTGGATGGGCCGCGGTGGATGGAGCCGCGGTACCGCGTGGATGGGAATGCGGCTACGGCCTTCGCCCCGTGAAACCCGGTACCCCTCCCAAAGGGAGGCACCTCATGGATGGGAATGCGGCTCCGGCCTTCGACCTATGAAATCTGGTGTCTCCCTCCGCGCCTACGGACTGTCCCGCAGGACTAGGCCAAACAGCGGCTAGGCTTGCCTGGCTATCTGTAACAACTAATCAGGGGGTCCCCTCGGGAGGACCCCCCCGCAGTGTCCCTAACGGGGCACTGCAACACCTGAGGCGCCGGACGAGCGGTCTGTGTGTACACGCACCCCTCGGCTGCTGCGACGACGGTATGGCGCGGGCAGTAGATTGGGAGGGTGGAAACCCCGACTGTACCACAAGGTTGACAGTCAGCCCAGTCGTACGCGCGCAGCGGAGAGTGGCTCTTCGGAGCCGCACTCTGCGGACTAAGGGCCCCCTGTGTTGCCCATCAACCTCACTAAGTACCAGTGAGAGGCTCATGCTTGACAGAGCCGTTCGTTGAGCGTCCAACCTTAAACCTTAAACCTTAAACTTGGCCAAGCATGCGTTTGTAAGTGTGTACTTGCAAGCACGCATTTGTAAGTGTGTACTTAGTAGACAGTTAGGTTTGTAGTGTGTGCGTGGCACTTAGTTTAACCAAACTGTGTGCCTCGATCAGGGTTTTTAACGTTAATTTTCAACAAACTGCGCACATTGTTATCAATATGTTTTTTGTTAAAATTAATTTTAATCATTACTTCCAGTTTCTTTGTTGAAATAGACTCAGAAAGGTTCCAATATCCCAAGAAAATTTCAGGTCACTGAATATTGTTATGCTATTGGCCACAGGTGGACGAGAAGTCAAAATTAACGGCGTTAATCAACGGCGTTAATTTTAACTTCCTTCTGTAGACAATAGCATCACAAATTCCACCGAACTAAAAATTTTCCTAGAATAAGGTAAAAAATCAATTGTGGGTCACGAATCAATTGTGGGTCATTTTTTTCGACGGGTCACCGCAGACCCGACGGAGATTGAATCGATTTGAATTTCGCGGTAGACCTTCTTCCAACCTTTCTTTGTCTCCCCAAATAGCGTGTATGTCCGAGCGACGACTGTAACAGCTCCTATCAGGCTTCGAAGGAAGGCCCTTCAAAAAGTCGTGAAAAAAAGCGCCCATCCAACGAAGCGAAAAATCGTGTGTTTTTCAAATTGCCACCGTGAAGCTATTACGAGGTAAAACGGGACGCCCTTGCTGATTTAGGTTCATAATAGGTCAGGGAACATAAATTTACCATAGTGCAGCCGAAATCACTCGATGCCATGGTGCGCGGGTGATGGCAAAGTAGCGTTCGCTACCATGTCCGACCCGTTATTTTAGACGAATTTTACGGTAGTTTTTCTTATATTTTTTTGTTTTCTACGCTCCTGAATGACTGATGTATCACAGTAAATTTCATTTTTCTGCACTGTCACATTTAGTACAACGATAGGAAGGTGGTTAAGCTTAGGGTACAGCCCCGAATGACAACGCTAGCTCTTACTTCCAGTCCACCATAAGGCTTTTTTTGTTGGGGAGCATTGCGGGGCTTACATAGCGCCCGGAAGGGGACCGCTCTCTAACTGCAGGCTAGGACCCCGAGGCCAGTCCGGCCCTGTTAAAACGAGTCAAATCAATCCCTACAGACTAAATATTTTGACTGAAATAGATTATAAACTGTAGCAATACTTCACGATGACAGGGTGTGGTGTTGGATTGTCTACCACAACGGCGGCCCTAGAATATGCACTGTAAAAGTTTCGTCTCTAATCCAGGACGTTTACCCCTGTAAAAAAAATTTAGTGCGTTCTCGTGCTTTTCTGGTGCGACCGTAGTGCACTATCGTGCAATCGAAGGGCATTCACAGTGCGATTTAGTGCGAACATGGAGCCGCCGTAGTGCAATTTCGTGCAATCATAGAGCATTTTAGTGCGAATGAAGTGCAGTGGTAGCGCAAGCGCAGTGCATTCGTAGAGCGAATAAGCGCTAGCGTGGTGCATTCGCAGCGCGCGTAGCGCAAACGTAGTGCAGGCCGCCCGAGGCCGCCCCACCCGCGTCCATCAGCCGCAGGGCAGCGCCTGGAGCCAAATCTCAAACTTGACCGAAGACACATCACCCTACAGAATTAGATTCGTCTCAAGAAGACAAACAAAAAATGTCAACACATATCATGGGTTAAAATGGAAAATGAAAGAATTATTGAACTTCTAATGTCTTTTTGACCATTTTTGCACTCTAAAAATCCAATAACTCTTTCATTTTCTATTTTAACCCATGACATGTGTTGACATTTTTTGTTTGTCTTCTCGAGACAAATCTAAATCTGTAAGATAATGTCTATTTGGTGAAGTTTGAAAAATCACTCATCTCAGCGAAGTTCAAATTCTGCAATAAAGCCGCTCTTGTCAAAATATCTCCAGCCCAAGGTGGTCCGAGGTAAGAGATTGGGTCACGGAATCGGTTTAAACTTTGTGGGCTTAACAGTTACCATTAGGACCTATCAACACTAAGAGGGAGGTTGGCCAGCACAAACAACACCTGAGATATTTACATTTTACTACATTTGACAAATTTAGCGGGAAAATGTCGCTTTTTGATCTTATGATAGTTTAAGTTGTTTGCTCAGTACTGGATTGTATTTCTTCTTTCTAGTCATAAATAGAGGAGAAAAATGGTGCCGACCAAGTTTTGATTGTTGCTTGGTTTGGCCTACTCAAGGAATTTTGTCGAAATCATCGAAACTGTCTTCCCCAAAATAATCCACCTATGATTTGACCCTGGTGGGTGTAGGCCAACACAAGGAATTTTGTCAAAATCATCAAAACTGTCATCCTTAAAATAATCCACCTAAGATTTGATCCTGGTAGGTCTCATTTCACTTCCTCTTCTCTAATAAACAATTACTATGTAGTCCCTAGGTGCAACAGTTCCACATAAGCTACAAAAGCAAAAGCAAATTTATTAGAGAAGAGGAAGTGAAATGAGACCTACCAGGATCAAATCTTAGGTGGATTATTTTAAGGATGACAGTTTTGATGATTTTGACAAAATTCCTTGTGTTGGCCTACACCCACCAGGGTCAAATCATAGGTGGATTATTTTGGGGAAGACAGTTTCGATGATTTCGACAAAATTCCTTGAGTAGGCCAAACCAAGCAACAATCAAAACTTGGTCGGCACCATTTTTCTCCTCTATTTATGACTAGAAAGAAGAAATACAATCCAGTACTGAGCAAACAACTTAAACTATCATAAGATCAAAAAGCGACATTTTCCCGCTAAATTTGTCAAATGTAGTAAAATGTAAATATCTCAGGTGTTGTTTGTGCTGGCCAACCTCCCTCTTAGTGTTGATAGGTCCTAATGGTAACTGTTAAGCCCACAAAGTTTAAACCGATTCCGTGACCCAATCTCTTACCTCGGACCACCTTGGGCTGGAGATATTTTGACAAGAGCGGCTTTATTGCAGAATTTGAACTTCGCTGAGATGAGTGATTTTTCAAACTTCACCAAATAGACATTATCTTACAGATTTAGATTTGTCTCGAGAAGACAAACAAAAAATGTCAACACATGTCATGGGTTAAAATGGAAAATGAAAGAGTTATTGGATTTTTAGAGTGCAAAAATGGTCAAAAAGACATTAGAAGTTCAATAATTCTTTCATTTTCCATTTTAACCCATGATATGTGTTGACATTTTTTGTTTGTCTTCTTGAGACGAATCTAATTCTGTAGGGTGATGTGTCTTCGGTCAAGTTTGAGATTTGGCTCCAGGCGCTGCCCTGCGGCTGATGGACGCGGGTGGGGCGGCCTCGGGCGGCCTGCACTACGTTTGCGCTACGCGCGCTGCGAATGCACCACGCTAGCGCTTATTCGCTCTACGAATGCACTGCGCTTGCGCTACCACTGCACTTCATTCGCACTAAAATGCTCTTCGAATGCTCTATGATTGCACGAAATTGCACTACGGCGGCTCCATGTTCGCACTAAATCGCACTGTGAATGCCCTTCGATTGCACGATAGTGCACTACGGTCGCACCAGAAAAGCACGAGAACGCACTAAATTTTTTTTACAGGGGTAACTCACATCTGTCTCACAGTGAAATAAGCCTGTTTATGTATTTTTCCTCTTTGAGTGAAAAACGTGCCTGCTTGGTTTATTGAGAACCAGGGACCTTTTATTAATGAAAATAAGAAAATATCTTGCAAAAGTGGCCAATTGACAAGCAAAAAGACGAAATGGCCCACAATTGATATGACCCACAATTGATTCATTGTGCTACAGATCCTGCAGTTTTCGCGATTCCGAAAAATAAATACAAAAGTGAATTCCTTTCGCATCTAAGCAAATCATATCCAAATTTGAGCTTTCTACAATGCTGACCCACAACTGGTTCCAAAAATCAATTGTGGGACAAAACAGACTATTTTTAAAACAGCCACAGCATAGTAAATAAGGATGATAGACGGGGCTGCTATGCTGCAAAACTTAGTCCAAGGACCATTGTTAAAGGCCGCACATGCACTTTTGTCATCAGGTCAAAATTAAAGGCCTTAATTTGGAATTTTCAAAAATGTGACCCACAATTGATTTTTCGCCTTATTTGAACCTTTCTGGGTCTATTCCAAAAAAAGAGACTCAAAGTAATGCTGAAAATGAATTCTAACCAAAACTGTTGAAAAAAAGTTAACTTCAACAACGGCCTCGATGCATTAATTTTTTAAAGCTGCACTAAAAATAGTATTGCTTCTGAAATGAGTTCATGATACACGTGGAACAGTGCACATGAGCTGCGCACAGAGCAGATAAGAAGGGCCGCTATTGACCGGATTCAAATATTGGTGGCTCTCCATTTGCTTTTTACTGACGAGTCAAGCCGAGCTTTGATACGCTTCCATCCTTCAATCGATATTTCGTCAATATCTATTGATTAATAGAGTTTCGTTAAGAAGCTTGGCATAGTTGTCAAAACAAAATTGTCAGTAATGTTTGTAAAACAAATAAAACTGCACAGAAGTCAATACGTTATAAAACAAAAACTCAGTATGAGTCTAAGTATGGCGATTTCGACTCAAAATTTCGCAAATTGGCTACGTGAATGTAATTCTTATTAGGGCAGAAAAATCCGCGCGCTTAGTTTCTGCCACTTTTATAAGTCTTTTCAACATCAAAATCGAATGGAGGATGTGATAAATGTATTTCACATAAAACCTGTCTTCGTAGTTCTCACGTACAAATTTAAACTTTTATGTGTACACTCACAAACGTATACTTGGCCACAAACTAAATTTTCATGTAGAATTTTGAGTGCCACTGCACGATTTTGTGCATGCGGGGAATTTGCATAATGTTATGCGTGAAAATGCATAAATTTATGCGAATTTCTGCACAATTTTAGGCATAACGTCACGCAGGTTTAAAATCGTGCATCACGACGTACAAAATTCTACATTTACGTTCAGTGTGCACGTTAACACTTGCTAACACTGGAAACGCAATGGCAAACCTGGCCCAATTGTGACAAAAAATTCACAAAATTCACGCCGTAAAACGGCATGGATGACAATGCGTTTTGTGAGAAAAGTCACGTCAAAAACCGGTATGTCAAGAAATTCACTCCAAAAATTGGTGCGAATTTTTGAGTCACGCCGATTTTTGGCATAACTTTTCTGTCATGCCGTTTACGCCCCTTAAGGGGGCAGTAGCGTCATTTGCACGTGTTTTGACGATTTTCGAACCTCCTGTTTAGACGTTAATATAAAGATAAGTATGAATGCCAGAGACAAACGGCAGGCACCATTTGAAAGATAAAAGTTTTTACAACATTTTCAAAAGAAAATATTTTGTTTTAGCATTGAATTAGGATGTTTTGTGTTATATGCAAAAATGGTCTGCAAAATTACATGGTTTCACTGCGCGCACGATTGCAGCCAAAGTTTTTAACTTTTTACCAATCGGTAAAATGCATCTGAAAAAGCATGAAATTGCCCATAAAATGACCCTTGGGTTTCAATATTGGGCAAGAAAAACTATTGAAACGCTCATCTTCAACTTAAGATGGAAACGAACCACATTTTTTCTGGCCCAATATTAAAACCCAAGGGTCATTTTATGGGCAATTTCATGCTTTTTCAGATGCATTTTACCGATTGGTAAAAAGTTAAAAACTTTGGCTGCAATCGTGCGCGCAGTGAAACCATGTAATTTTGCAGACCATTTTTGCATATAACACAAAACATCTTAATTCAATGCTAAAACAAAATATTTTTTTTTGAAAATGTTGTAAAAACTTTTATCTTTCAAATGGTGCCTGCCGTTTGCCTCTGGCATTCATACTTATCCTTATATTAACGTCTAAACAGGAGGTTCGAAAATCGTCTAAACACGTGCAAAAGACGCTACTGCCCCCTTAAACGACACGAAGTCACGTTAATAGATTTTCAATGGATGCATACTTAGCAAGTGCACATTGACAACTGCATGATTGGCGCCGCCGTAAAACTCCATGCATTTGGATGCGAGTGTTTGCCAAGCATTTATTTGTGACTGTGTGCTTAGCGAAGTATGCCTTTGTAATTTGTGGTAAGTAGACAGTTACGTTTGTAGAGTAGGGGCAGTCCTCATGAGAAACGAAGCACTCGGCGTGGCTATGAGGCTAATTCATATCCTTGTCTAAAGAATTCAAAGTAGGTACGGATTAAGTACACACTATGTAATGTACAATTTTGTACGAGACATCGCAGTTTTTTGTGCACACGAACTTTTCGTACAAATTTGGTACGAAAAAATTGCACATACTTCCCTTACTTTCTACAAAACCACGAACAAGTTTGTACGATAATTTCGTGGACACAAAGTGTTGTCTCGTACAAAATTTGTACAAAAACATTTAGTATGTATCAAGTGAAAACTCACCTCGAGTATGAACAATAAATTCCAGGAGCTGTCGTACTCTGGTAACAGAACTTTCCGACACCTCGTCAAATGTCGAAACACTCAAGTGTTTCAATTTCCCCAGGGCCGCCTGCCTGTGAAGAGAGAATATTTAAATAGGACGGGGTAGGTGACTGAAAAGGGAGAACGACTTCAGGGACACGATGTTGAAGCAGGACGCTTGTCGTCACCCGATGACAATTTCAAGGGTAAGGGAGTATGGGGCGATTTGTAACAGATTTCGGAATTTGCTATACAAAATTAAGAACATTCTGCATATCGGTGTCAAACTTGTGCCAGTTGAGCAGTCTGGCCCTTCATCTAGACTGTGCAGCTCCATTGGATCAATCTGGAGTCCGTAATCTTTAAAATCTAAGACGTTTTTCAAACCCTTGCATGCTGTTACGAATCGCCCCAGCATGGGGCGATTTGTAACAGCCATGGGGCTTTTCATAACATCCTCCACATTAAATGAAACGTCGTCGGGAATGTTATCTCCTCCACCAGTTGTTCTTCGGGTGTCCTGCAGACGTCTAAAAATCTACATTACGAGCTGTCAATGACCGCCTCCGCATTAACTGATCGGCTATGTCAATCCTAACCTCACTTTTTTCAATTTTAGATGATAGAATAGAATAACTCGCTTTAAAATGCATTTCGAGCTGTGTAAATAAATTGGAATAAGGCAGCAGATGATTCGAGAAAAAATTCAAGCATTTAATTGCTAAAACTACTTAAATTCTTGTTTTTATACGGGTCTGTTACGAATCACCCCAAATGCCTGTTACGCAAGAAATACGTCCCTAACTATCACTGGACAAATTAAAAGCAACTTATACCACGTGGTTACATTGTAAAGGGGTCACGCTTCAAGGCCCCAACGGTGCTTCGATGGTGATTCGTACCTGGGGAGCCTCAGACAGAAACTTCCTAGAACTCAAAATAAAAGATTTTTCCTATTTGCCGAAATTTCGGTGTACCCTATATTTCAGACGCCCTCCAAAACTATACCTGAGCACCGATCACATCCGCTTCGATTGTTCAAGGACCCTGTACTTGAAGCGAAAGAGGGGCCATACTAAGATTTTCCTCTGCTCCCTCTACTTAAACGCATTTGTTACGAATCGCCCCTGTTACAAATCGCCCCATACTCCCTTAATTCTCCTATCCATCAAAGCCTTGTCATGATTTGCAAGCGATGTGCATCCCAAATCAAGTCGACCAAATCTAAAAAGTTTGTAAAAATTCAAAAAGTCCCACCAAGGATGCCACACAGGACATGAAAGAGGTAAAAAGGCATGGAGAATTTTAGGGTGATGACCATTTAAAGTAAGGGTGACCATCACAATAGAAAGTTGAATAACAGGAAAAGTAGCGATATACATCGGCAACTTTGGCCCGTCCCGTTCATCGGGGAATGTGCGAATTTCGCCTATGTTTAACCCTGACGGGATTCCCTTGCAAAATGGAAAATATATGGGCACTATATGGACAAAATATATGGCCCAACATGTATTGACGTCATATGTGGAAAAGATAATTTAGCAAGATACTTTTCCGATATAAAAAATATGTGGCAAATATATAAATTTCATACATTGCTTTATATGTAGGAAATATATAGTGTGAATACACCATGGAGTCCGACGACTCCGAGACTTCCTTTACTATTATAAAAGAATGTAAACTTCTCCTTGCGAGGACATACAATTGAGATCCTACCGTGGTCGCCTAGAAGAACTTTTCGCGCTACGCCCAAAAAAGACGTTTAAAATTTCCGAACTGTTCCAGTTCACTTGTTAAACAGGATTTCTCAAAATTTCTTGGAGACTTAAACGCATAGAAAAGAACCTTTGCCCTGCTCAATATATGGCGTCAATATATTTTACAACATTAAATAATGTTGAGAAATCTAGCCGGATTTCAACATCGAGTGCCAAGATTTTAAGAAAAGTTACTTGAAAAGTCTGCCCTCCTCACCCGGCCTTATCCCACGACGGGCACCGTGTCAGATATTTGAAACATACATTTCGCGAAGATAATATTGTATGGGGAAATATATGCATCATATATTAACGGGCACCAAGATATACCCCCATATATAAACCACGTATTGCGTAAGATAATTTGCAATATATTGAGCAAGATACAATTATATTGGCAATGCATGAAACACATATGGAGTCATATATTGACACATATTTTCCATATATTTTCCTTTTTGCAAGGGTTTGAACCTGAGGGTCAAAATAAATGTTATTTTCGTCATCAGCGCCCTCAAAAACATCAGAAACAATGCAAAAATTTGAATAAAAAGAATGTCCAAAATATACCCCACTGGGATTTGAACCCAGGTCCAAACTTCTCCGATTCGCTTGAAACTGGCACCGTTGGTTTTGTTTCGTCGCCGCGATTCCAAAAATACCCCTACATGCCCTCCTAGCTGCATCCGTTGCCGAAATCCTCCTCGACCCCATGTAGACCATGATGCACCTGCAGCAGCGCCCCCGGTGCTCGGATCGGATTTGCTGCCACCGGGCGGTTCTAAGGGTCACCCAAGGAGGCTGCATACCAAATTTGGTCAAGATCGGACCACGGGAAGTCCTCGGACGGACGGACGCACAGCAGGGATCATACTATATGCCCGTCCCTCCGTCATTTTTTTTACAAAAAATAAACGGGACGGGCCAAAAAGCATGAAAAATTTCAAATTTCAATAGACCGACCCTGGGGGTGGGTGGGTGGGTTGGGAGTCTCTCCCTCTCTCTCTCCCTCTCTCTCTCTCTCTCTCTCTCTCTCTCTCTCTCTCTCTCTCTCTCTCTCTCTCTCTCTCTCTGTGTCTCTCACACACACATACTCTCTTCGTGTCTCCCTTTAATACCTCCCGAGCGCCGCCGTTACGAGAACTGCATCAGGAAGATTGAAGTACAACTCCAACTCGAGGACGGCGCAGCATGTCAAGGGAAGAAAAGCTCCAAGACTGTCCCAACAGGTTGGAGTGTTGCCGACCACCAGCTTGTGCAGGCAAGGAGCCAGTCGTAACGCTGCGGCGACCAGCTGGTAGTCGCTGAAATCGAAGCAAACTTTGAGCAAACCTTCAAAAGAGCATTCTCTTGATGAAGCATGCTTCCAAGCACACTCTTAGTAACAGCATACCTGCCAGGCACACGCTAAAGTAGAGTGTTCCTGGCATGTACAAGCTAAATAAGAGTGTACCTTCTCTACAAATCAAAGAGTGTACGTGGTATGCTCTAACTGGAGCATGCCTGCAAGCACGCTCTAGCTAGCGCATGCCTGCCAAGCATGCACCAACTAGAGCATACATGCCATGTACACGCTAACTGAAGCATACATTTACTGCATAAGGGATAGGGAGTTTTCTGCATCAGGAAGCGTGTACATGGCATGTATGCACTAGTTAGTGCATGCTTGGCAGGCATGCGCTAGCTAGAGCGTGCTTGCAGGCATGCTCCAGTTAGAGCATACTATGTACACTCTTCGATTTGTAGAGTTGCAAGTACACGCAAAAATACACTCGATCAATCCGATCTAAAAGCATGGGCCATTTTAAGTGAAGTTGCCAGGTACACACTTATTTAGCATGTACACTCCCAAGATCCTACTGAGCTTTTCCTTCGTAATACGAGTATTATGACAGCACAGCGAAGGTAGTAACGTATGGTGAGCGGTTCTCAGTAACTAATGACCAGTTTCTTAGTATAACAAACAAATTTCTTTGTATTATGATAGATTTGTGTCGTCTTACTGAGAATTAGTCTAGTATTATGACAGCACGGCATTTCTCAGTAGGAAATTGGGAGTGTAAATGGAATGTACACTCTACTTTAGCGTGTGCCTAGCAAGTATGCTGTAAATAAGAATGTAGTTGGAAGCATGCTCTAATAAGTGTACTATGTACTATGTACACACTTCGGTTTGCAGAGGAGATGAAGATGGCGCACAGTAAAAGCTCTACGAAGAACCGCTTTGTAATACGAAGAAAATGAAGGCATTGGAAAATCTACGGCATACAGGACATGAGCCCCGTCCCGTTTGAGCCCCGATAGTCTGCGCCCGGACCCGAGCCCCAACCTGAGCCCGAGTTGAGCCCCACCTTGAGCCCCGATTCGAGCCCCAACGTCTTGAGCCCCGGCCTGAGCCCAGATAGAGCCCCCATTTTAGCCCGGTTTGAGCTCCGACCCGAGCCCGAATATCTAAAGCCCTGACATGAGCCCGATTTGAGCCCCGACCTGAGCCCCATTTGAGCCCCTCGTCAAGAAATCATACATTTTTCAGTCTTTTTGGACGAATTGGAAGATATTGGGGCTCGGGTCGGGGCTCAAGTCCGGGCTCTGACCGGGGCTCAAGACATTGGGGCTCTAGTCGGGGCTCAAGGCGGGGCTACTCGGGCTCAGGTTGGGGCTCGGGTCCGGGCTCAGACCTCCCGGGCTCAAACGGGACGGGGCTCATGTCCTGCATGCCAAATCTACGAAGAAATGCTTCGTATTACGAAGCCAAATCCTTTGCAATATGAAGCATAACTAACAATATTGCTCAACATACACTCCCAATATCCTACTGAGCTTTTTCTTCTTAATACGAACTAAAAGCTTAGTATTATGACTGCACAGCGAAGGTAGTAACCTATGGTGAAAAGTTCTCAGTAACTTATGATCACTTTCTTCATAATACGAACAAATTTCCCTGTATTATGGCCCATTTGTGTCGTAAAGTACTGAGAATTAGCTTAGTATTATGACTGCACGGCCTTTCTCAGTAGAAAATTGGGAGTGTGTATAGAGTACTCCAAAGATTCTCTGGCCCGGAAGAAGAAGAACAAAAACGGAAGAAAGAAATTGCAGTATCTATGAGAAATATACGCTGCCCATGAGAGTCCGCAGCGTATATTTCTCATAGAAACTGCAATTTCTTACTTCCGTTTTTGTTCTTCTTCTTCGGGGCCAGAGCTTCTTTGGAGTACTCTATTGGCGAAATATGCGGAAAAGATTAGGGGGGGGGGGGGTAAAAATGGCCTCGTGGGCCAGGGGACTGGTTAATGGTCCTCTAGTATCCTCAGGACCCCATTTCACTAAGACCAGGAGCTGAGGCTCTAAAACGTGCGCGGTTGTATTATAAGGGTCAGGAGCGCGAAGCAGAATCCGTGTTTTCAACTCACTTGGGTATTTGGGAAACCTTTGGTACACGAAAATCGACTTCAAATATAATGCTTATACTCTATAATACTTAAAATATTTCGTCGTACACGGTTCAGGAGAGGCAAGGAAAAAATACCTTTCGTAGACAGCTTCCAGGGTTTTGTGGCGCCAGAGGGCCGGAAGCACCGCCAGGTCCCTCCACTGACGGCACGTGGCCCTGCACCGCAGCAAGTCCCTGGGGGGCAGGAAGCTCAGCACGTGCAGCAGCACTTCCAGAGGCAGTGAGGCGATCTCCATCTGAGGAACAAGACACGGGAGGATCAAAAGTAACGGATGGGTTACAGGGGCAATGTAAGACAGGGGGCTGCAACGCCAATGGCTGGTGTGGGGGCGATCCGCGAGACCACGCAAAACATTGAAATCGGGGGGCCCTAATGCTCAGTGACGGTCCGGTCGCTTTTCTTCAATCTCCCGTCACGCGGTAATAGAAATAAAGAAAGGTTCATTTTGGGTACCAGGACATGTGGCACACCGATTCGTTGCACCGTCTATCAATGGGGAGCAATCAAAGTAGTCCATTTTTAGTAGTTTACCCGTCATTTTTAAATTAGAATTTTTAAGTTTCGGCAATGGGCTTTTCCTAAGAGACTAACAGTCTCATCATGAACTCGTATTCATATGGCTTACTACACCGAAAAATGCCTTAACTTTATGTTTGATTTGAGAAATCGAAGTGAAGCTTACACGCTACAGTTTCCGAGAATTAAGGCCCCCGATTCGCAATGTATAGTCCGGACACACACACACACACACACACACACACACACACACACAGACAAAACTTTTCAACCCCACCCGCACTGAGAAAACCTTAAAACCATTTTAGGCCTTACAAAGTAAAGCAGTTTGTTATAACAAAGTATTTTAAGCATACATAAGCTTACGAAGAAAATACTTTGTGATTTACGAACCACCGGTATTACTTCGTATTACAAAAGTAAATTGCAATTTAATGCACTGTGTTTTGTTGGCTGAGCCCCCTATTCCTTTCACTGAAACTAAAACTTAAACTAGCGAAGCCCTTTAGTCCGGCCCAGAGACCCTCCCAAGTGAACCACGACGAAAGTGGCACCTCGCAATGTAGGCAACCTTTGAACGTATCGGTGGCAACAAAAGTGGTAGTGCTAAGCGTTGAAATTAACTAAGTAGGTGCCTTTGATGAATTTTTACAATGATCAGAACCCAATTTTTCAAAATGAACGAACAAACATTCGATTCGAGCTGGTAAAACGTTTAGTCTCGTTCACTGTTCAAGTGAATTTTTCGGGTTTGGCAACGAAAAAGTCGGGTGCAGTTTAGAGCGTCGTTGAATTGCAACCCCGGTGGGTTTTGTAAACTAACCACAACAACACGAACAACACCCCGGGAGGCGGTAGTCGGCACTAGCGTTCACACTAGATAAAGTCAAGATTTAAAAAAATGAAGTTGAAAATTTACAAGTTAACATTCATATGACAAGATTAAAAACTAATAATAAACTATGATCATTATTATAAATCTTATAAAGTTTAAATCTGTAAGTGGTAGTATTTCTTCTTGTGGCAGCGCTCAGTCATGAACAATAAGAATTCGCTTCCCAGGTTTTAAAGTTCCACAGTTTTATAAAATTGTGTGTCTATCAACAAAAGTAATAATTTTTAACTGCTAAATTGACATTGGGAGGCACATGCTAACCATTCAACCCAGTTAAGAACCTCATCGTGCACATTTTGACTATATCTTTAACAAGCTAGGGCCCGCCCTTCCGTCGAACCGAGTTGCCAGCTCCGCTTCGCTGCGCCGGCAACTCGGTTCGCGGGGGGGCCCGGGCCCCGCTTGGCCTGCCCGGGGGCCTTTTCTCGGGCCTTCGGCCCTCGCATCAGACCCAACTTGGCCAGTCGAAGGCCCGGACCTTCGGCCCGCTCGCATCCCACGCACCGTGAGCGGGTAAAGCAAAGTTATCGATGTACCATCGTGACTTAGGCCCGCCCTTCTATTCACAATAAGGGAGAGTGGGGTAATTCCGGACGCTTTTTTTTCGGTCTTTGAGCTAGAATATGCTTCTTGGGTCAAATGTTATTACAGGAGAGTAAAGTATGGACCTTTACCTTCACAATGATATCATGAAAGCCAAAACTCTGCAACGGTTAGGGAGATATAGGGGCCCCCACAAAAGCCCTGCACGTGTCCGGAATTACCCCAGCCTAGGGTAATTTCCCGGGCGACCTATGGGGCAATTCCGGACGACCTTAAAATTTGACACTACTCGAGCTTTCTTTCGCTTTTTTTGATGTCATGCATGCTTTTTGAAGGCGTACAAGGACATTTGCTGCGAACTGTTTTCTGCGAAGTGTTTGATTATTTCTCAAAGCATATTAAGGAATAGTTCTATCAAAACCCCCAAATTGACAACACTGTCTTGAGTAAAGCTCTTAAACATATCTGCAATACTATTTTTCGTTCTTTCTTTATCCTTCCTAACGGTGGGGATGCATGTCCACAATTTTGAACCCACTACCTTAATATAATGCGGGAAATTGAAGAAAATAAACTTCTTGTCCGGATTTACCCCACAGGTAGTGAAAACCTTTGATGTTCAATTGTAAAAAACGGCGAGCCATACGAGCACTCCCGAAACGC